ACTCTAATTGAGACATGACTTGGTAGTGGTGTGCTGATTATCGATCATAATCTATAAAGCATCAGAAACCTAAAGGAAAGTGAGTATTGCTTATACAAATGTTCAGTTGATTGTTGTGGAAAATTCACAAAAACATTGTTGACAAATAAGGACATTAATACACCTGTGTTGTCTTTTTGATGGGGTCTTAATTTAGTTTATATGATGTTTAGTTGGTTTAACTATGTGACAGATAAGCCTCTGCTTGCAGGGTAGGTTTTTTGTTTTGTTCACTTACAAAATTATTTTCAGTGTTGAAAGTGGCTCACAGGGGGCACAAAACTATAATCTACTATAATCGATTATCAGTTTAATAGTTGGGTTAATCTGATTATTTCTGACGATATGATTATAATACAGACACTATTACTAAGACTAACCAACACCTTAAAGTAGACTTGGAAAGTATTTAAGCCAGCACATCTAACAGCTGCAATCTCACACCACAACACCTAATCAAGCTAAAAGCCTTGCCTTGTCCCTGTGTGGCATTTTCCAAGGCCTTAATTCTTGGTCAATTCATTTCGGTGACTTATCTTAGGCAAACTGGAGGGAAACTGTTTCACTATTTTGCTTGGGACCACGTGACCGAAAACTCATTGGCCATGACTAGGCAACTAAAAGCTCACTATGCTAATGGGGACTCTGGCACAAAACACTTCAAAAGCCTTTGCATCCCGACATGAAAAATCCCATGATCGAGATGCTCCAGGCTATTTATTCAGTGGATAGTGATATATGCACCCTTTGAAGTAGTTTATTTTTTTAAATCCAAGTTTTAGAACTGAATTATAGCTGCTTCACAATCATACCCAGCTGGTGTTGGAATACTACAGTACCAGCCACTTTTTCACCTGGTCCACAAACCCCCTTTTCAAGGATATAGTGACAAGAACAACATGCACACTTAGCCTACAGTAATTAGAAGCTCAATTGACAGGTTTTAGTTTGACAGAAAACGTATTTATCTTGGGGTCACTGTCACCCCATGTCTGGAATCTGGGAAATTTTTCTCTTGGAATCTGGAATAAAGGTCCTAAAGTACTCTGGATCCCACTTATAACTGGAATCCGGAATCCATGTTCCACTGACAAAGAATCCAGAATGCAGTATCCATTGCGCAAAATTGAGAATCCAAGACTGTCAGATTTCCTTGAATGGGCTGATCACTATTTTCAACTTGATAAAATAAAAGACATCATGTGCTTTCATTTATTTTATTGCAACTAGAAAGAAATCCCACAAGCTTCAATACATCAATATGTAAGTTTTTCATTTCTGAGAAAGGAAACAGTTTATTTTCCCAATGTCTCTGTATTTAGCTGTATTTTACTGCCAATGAAATGAGCAAATAATAATAAATTATCATTATTGTGACACTAAAACTGAATAAATGAAAAGTCAGGATTAAAAATATCAAATGATAGCGACACTATGTTTGGCTTCAATTTTTAGTTTTGTTTCGACATCTGCCTCTCTCGCTCCTCGTCCCCCTTCAAAATCACAGTGGAAAAATTAAAAGAAGGCCAGGTTAGGCCCATGAATGTTACGATCAAATGAAAAGAATGTTTCACTTGACAAAAAACTGCTGAGACAAAGGGCAGATTATGCAAGATTTCCGTATAACCTCATACATTAATAATATTATGCATACAGCTTTTGTTCAGAGAAAACAAAAGGCAGAACAATACTACACCTTTGCAACGGGCAGCTAAATTTATTGATAAGCTGAAGCCTTGCAAGTATTCTTTCACAAATCGGGAATTAAAGAAACATCTTTAGTAATTTTCGGAACACACAAACCAAATAGCACGAGTAACAGAAATACCTCTACGCGTTATAATATTCCCAGCGATTACCAGATATCACTATATTCGAATCTTTGCCTTCCAACGGTACAGTCACAGTTTTCCGAACAATCAGATCTGAATTCTGTCAAACACCTTTTAGGTCTCAAACACTGAAGAAAGCACTTCTTAGCCTCTACGAAGCCCTCAAATGTTAACCATCTTTGTTTTGGAAGGAATAAACCAATGAGAGCGCACGTATGAACGCGCTATGGAATGCACCAATCAGCGATCGCTTTAGTTCGCAGTGTGCCAGGGTCTTCTCTCCTGCCGCCGCCATATTGGAAAGCGAGAAGACCCTGGGGACGAGGTTGGTCCAGTCTCTTGCACGCAGCTGTTGGGTTCAGTTAACAATGTTTTCCTTCTTTGTTTTCGATGATCGCCAGGCCGGAATTTTTTTTTCCCCATTATGAAAATGTAAATATGATTAGTCATACAAGTTGTTCGAAGAAGGACGCAAACCCCAACGTGACTACGGACCACTTTAGTGTTGTCAGCTGCTTTTCGTCGGAAAACGTCTGAAACCAAGCTAAGTAAGTAAGCTCGTCTTTTAATATTTTATAAATCATTTCTGATCAGTTTGAAGAAGCCATTGAAGTGTGATCGATTCAACCTGTGTTCGAGAAAGTTGAGAAGTAAAGACTGTCGTAACAATCAATCGGTTGTTCGGTTGTTCGGTTGTATTCGCTCAGGACTGTTGCCTCATACTTCGTCGTTCTCGTATGCCTGATCGATTTAATTTGGTCAGGTGAGAAACAAACATCTGGTCGTCTTTCAGGTGTTTCAATAATCCTGACAAATCACTACGATGTAGATACTTTTCCTTTTTAATACGCTCAAGGTGGTGTCACGTCATAATAATCGTGCTATTTGCGCTGATTTCTGTTGGGCTGAGCATATCAAATCGTATCCGACCGTCCGGAATATGGTAGAATAAGCGTATATAATATAATATTTATGGTTTTTATGGCTTGAGCAGTCTTCGTTTCCCCCTTTCATGTTTATACGTTTTTCATTCTGTGTAACTGGTCTAGCTAAGGCATCAGAAACAGCTTCCTTTGATGGGAGACCTTACAGAAGAACAACAACACATTCTATCCAAGGTTGGTCAGATTACTCTCCTTAAATTTTAAATTGTGTGGGAAAGTGTTAATGAGGCTGTGTAAACAAGGAAAATAAGACAGGTCTTACATAAGACGCAAACTTCCCGTATAAATGGTGCCGTTTATCTGGAATGAGAAGCAACTTAGCTAAGATGCATCTTATGGAATAAAAGGTCTCTTTCTATAATAAGATGTGCCTAAGCTAAAACCAAGAAATTGGTGCATAACAACCTTAATTTGCATTCCACATAACACGGGAACACATAGCACGCATGCATTATTTTAACAGGGGTTATATTGGATTGCCATTGGTACTGGCAACAATCACACGCATGTGTAAATATTCCTAACAACCCTGGTAGATTGGTCTGCGATGTTAAGTCAGTGTTCTATTTTCCTATTAAAATATCCTGCGTGATGACATCACAAAATCTAAGTTTGTGAAATCATGGGGTTGGTTGGCATATCCAGCATAGAGCAATATAAAAAATGTGCCCTTCTTAAAGGGGCTGTGTCACAGCAGTCCAGTTCATTTAGATGTAAATGTCAAAGTCAGAGATTCAAGACAAACAAATATGTCTCCTGAGCATTAGTTTTGAAGTTGCAAACAGCAGAAATAAACTTTTAAAAACTGTTAGGCTGGACAGTTTTCAAAAACCCTAATTTTAATCCGTTTCGATCTTCTCCAGTTTTGCCCATCCTTGGCATCTGTTGTATCGTTGTGTTATTTTAACCTTCTTTAATGTTTTTAAGCGGTTATTTTTGTGTTTCTCTTGGATTTAACGGGCATTTTGTAATTAGCTAATCTGGCTGAATTTCGTGACACAGCTCCTTTAATAGCCTGTTATTGCAAGTTGGTTGGGAGATATAAGCACCGCTGTGCTCTGATGACTCCATTTGAATTCTCCTAAAAATAGGCTGAGATCATAATTATGATCCATGCCAATTTAGAAGGACTTGTGTTGATTCACCAGAGCATAACAATGCATATATCTCCCCACCAATAACAGGCATTCCGTAAACTGCCACGTATAAACCCTGCTTCTTATAAGCACCCCCAGTTAAAGGTCCATCTACCTGTGTACAAAAAAAATTCATCCAATTGTTTTGAGCCCCCTCCAAATCTATTGAAACGAATTCATTTTATTACAACATTTTGAAACTTAATTTAAAACCAGTTAATGCAAAAGGTGCACTGCTATAGCTTGTTTCGAATAACGTTTTCTTTTCTGTTTTTAAAGCCCTCCTAAAACCCATTACAAAAATGTATAAGCACAGTGCTTTTAAGCGACAGTTTACTGTATGTTTAGAAAGGGGTTTGTTTTCATTTTGTTCTTTCTGGATATGCCAACCATTCCTATAATTTCACATTTTTTTGATGTCACACCTTCTTACTCTAGATAGTGTTAGTGAAAAAAAAGAGGAGGAACTTTCATTTTCCTTCTGAAACTGGTGGAATTATGTTTTTTTGAAAGTTTATTATTTTGTGGTGTCAGGTTTGATCAGTGTGATCCAGCTAAATTTATTTCAAGTTTCCCTTTCATAGATAAAAGTTTCTGAATTATGAGATTGAACAAAGTATAATAAGGTGACCTTACTAATTAGGACATCTTAAGCGTCATAAATCCTGGAAAGTCCTCAAATTCTTCAAAGCATCATTTGTAGTCTAGAAAACTTTGCATTAAATTTGCCATAACCCTTGGTTATTAGCAACTGGACGCCATGCAAGTTCACTAACTGTGTCTTTTGTTTCATCTGTTTCCTTGATCAGTTTCGACATTGTGTCAGTGATATTCTGGAACCTGAACATGATGATTACTTCCTGTTAAGATGGCTGCGAGGTTAGCTGTATTAATATTACAAGATTGTATTTAACTACTCATGCCAGGGGATTTCCCCTGGCTACTTACTATGGGCACAATCCCCGGCTAGTTTGAGAGGAAACAAAAAGAAAATAGAACACAAAGAACCTCCTAGCTGTTCCATTTCCCACCTTCTACCGGCATATACAGTCAACTCTCACCTTGCGGACACCCCGCTATAACAGACACTTCGATAATATGGACAGCGGCTAAATCCCAAGCAAAAATAAATTACAGGTGTTTGAGTGAAGTAAATTCCTGCTATCACGCACTCTTGCTGATGAGGACACTAACTCAAGGTCCCTACAGTGTCCGCAATAAAGAGAGTTGACTGTACCTTGCAACTTGAAATCTTAGTGACTGCTCTAAGCTGAGGTACAAATGCTTACCTTTGAGACCCTCTTACAGGGGTTACACACGTCCCTAGTCTGAATTTGTAAACCTGTCATTTTGCATACTGAGGAGGAAGCCATATGGTGCTGTCGATATTTTACTATTGTATTTGTTTTTTTCTCTGTCGCTGTCCCAATTTCAACCCATCTTTGTGTCCTTTGTCACCATTTCTGTTGTCCTATGTCACTGTTTCAAGGCCATGTCGCTTGTCAGAATTTTACCGCAACAGCGTGGCAGGTTTTAACTATGTAGCTGAAAGCTCTTCTTTAGGCCTTTGGACATAAATATCTCTATTGTGCTGTTTTTAAAACCATGAAGGCTGTTGCAATATGGGTGTAACGACCATCTCTTGTGGTTAGGATGCTTCCTCTTCCAGCATATCTCTATACTTACAGAATATCTAGAGTAGTTTTGAACATTTTTTCAAATGTTTCACTAAATGTTTCTTTCTCCCATTTAGCAAGAGATTTCAAAATCGAAAAATCAGAGTTGATGCTCAGAGAGGTATTGTGTAAGAAATTTAGTGAAAAAGGAAATTTAAACATCTTTTACGTTTACATTTGCATGTGAAGTCTTGGCTCAAAATGTTAGTTGGGATTTTTTGTATGTAGCTGTCCCTTGACTACTTATCAAAAAGTATGATGAAAAAACAACTGAGATCAACTCTTGCATAGTGCTTTTCTCCCTAAATACCACATCCATAATGACAAATTTTAAGTTTCGTTTGCTGCACCAAGGTTCCAAACCAATCCAAAAAATCACATCTAAAAATTTTGCAAAAACCGTCAGTTTGCAGTTTTATGACTGTTTTATAAACTCGCACAATAGTCAGGTCTCTTAAGGTCAGGATCGTTACAAAGTTGACAAAAGCACCAAACTTTGCACAGCGATAGCTTGTTGCAGTACTATGAATATTAGAGGGGGTGCCCAATGCAAATATGCCACTGAAGCATGCTAAACAGGATTTAATTATTGTAAATTTCACCTGCTGAGCTCCCTGTGGTGTTTTGATTGAAAATTGTTATTTTAAACTCATCGCCAATAGATGAGCTTGGGAACTGGTGCCTTAAAGGTTGGACGGGAGCCTGAACGCCTCAGGAATAGCAAGGAGGTATCCATGGTAACCCTGCGAGCGGGAACCACCCCTGCATGCAGCCGCCAACTGACACTGTCACACTGAAAGAATTCAGTGGAAAATACTCACCTGACCTAATACTTACCAATGCACAGAAGGGGAGGGATGGGCTGGGAGCCAGAATCCGCAACGATTCGCTAAGCAACAGATCCGCAAAGATCAGCTCAAACCCCCCTTTATCTGTAATTAGGACCATTTTTAACGGGCACCCCCTCCAGCATTAATCTGTAGGTGCTAAGGAAGCTCTGTGCCAAATTTGACACTTTTGTCACGTCTGTAACGATCCGGCCTATATTTTGCACTAAGAGACCTGACTACAAGCACAGTGAGTTATTGTGTTTCCTTGCTTGTGGTTATTTATATATTCCTTTTATAACGAGGTGTTTTATCTTGCTAGAGCATGAATGTGAGGAAGGAAATGGGACTTGACACATTGCTTCAAACATATAAAGTCCCTGAGGTAGTTATCTGTTGTGTTCTTTAACTTTTTGCATATAACCATAGAATAAGTTGCTCATGGTTACATTAATTTGAAGCAACTCATTGGGAATTATTACTCTTCTTATTGCACTGGCTCTTAGTGTCAATGTCTAATAACAGTATAATCGCAAAAAGGTAATGAGAAGTTGTTGTATCTGTTTAACTTAACAGGTGTTATTAAAGTATTATCCAGGAAGTTATTTTGGTTATGATAGAGAGGGAGCTCCTGTTTTCATCGATCCTGTTGGACAAATAGACTTCAGAGGTCAGCTTGAATATGGAATGACTTGTCTAAAGAGACTTTTTTCCTATTATGTTTGTGACAGTGTGGTAGGGCTGTGTGACTCAAAGCAGATGTAATGTACCTCTTAGACTTGCCTGGACCAAGTTTGTTCAAAGGACAATTTTGTATGAAAGGGTTTGTATGGAATAAGGTGCTGAGTGACCACAGCAGGATAAGCTCAGTTGGTAAAGCACTTGACTGTACTGTAGAGCCGGACGTCGCAGGTTCAATTTTTGGGGCTGTACCATAACTCAGGGTCTAAAATACTTGAGAAATGAATCGAAGGTACTGCCTGTGCCCTGCAAACGGCTAGACCTTTGTGTGGCTCGGATGGCCACATAACGTGGTGGTCTGGTCTCCAGGAGGGGACGTAAAAGTAGTGTCCCTAATTAGTATCTTTGTGCTAAATACATTGACACTCAAATAAAGTGCATTGTTTTGCATCTGGTGTCAGGGCAGTTTGTGAGAAATTCATACTGACTCTCACAGACAAAGTCAAACGCATTTAAATTTTTTGTCTTGTTGTTTTTCACAGGGTTACTTTCCTCAGTAAGCAAAGAAGAAATTGTAAAGTTTAAGGCATATTTAGGTGAATGTGGAATGTCCCTGGCCAGGCAACGAGCAGCAAAGGTGTGAAAAAAAAAAGTTACACATGTAGCAGTAGAACTTTAAGGTGATAGATCTGATGTAAGGCTATTGTACTGAACTGGAACTTACACTAGATTCTTGCTTAAACTTTGTAGTGGATTTTCTAGAAATTTTGGTGCACTGTAGAGTCTGGAATTGAATACATTTTTTCCTTTTTCTTTTTATAGCTTGGTGTAAGAAATGAGCAGGTTGTAATGTTGATGGACATGGAGGGCCTAGGACTCAAACATCTTTGGAAGCCAGGTTTGCTAATATAATCATATTTCTAAGAATTTCAAAGTCATTTCAATTTTTTTTTTTCAAATAAAGATCTCTTTACATTCCTTTGGATACTATCATACTAGTGATTTAACAAATTTTTTTTTTTGTTTTATTCACTGAATCTGTAAGGTAATTCGAGGTGATAATCAAGAACCTCAAACTGCTCAAATCTAAGTTTTCTGTTTCACTTTTCCATGTAAGAAGGGGTACAGTTTCTTTAGCAATAATTTATAAACTAAATATCTAAAATATAAACTGCATATGAATGAAATGAAGCTTACGTGTCAATGTGTTCAGCTTTACAGCTAATGGAGGACACATAGACTGCAGTCTATATTCATAATAAGTATCTCTAATAACAAATATAAAAAAGAGTATAAACATGTACATTCTTGAAGTCGTCCTAACACTAAAATTATTAAAACTCTATCCATTTGTTTAATACTAATACGACTGTGATTACTCCTTATTTCAGGTTTGATGGTGTTTAACACTGTAAGTAGCAAAGCATGGTATGAGCTTGAAATTTCCCTACATATCAATGCCAAGATAGTGATCAAAATCTGGTCTGCATGGTATAATGTGCATAACAATAATCACATGTGCCACAGACTACTTCACTCTCTAACTCCAAGAAAATGAATCTGAGCATGTCAAACTACAGCCGAAGAGTTTTTGTTTGAATGGTTGCACCACAGGATTTCATCCACAGACTAACAAATTGTTGAACGTATTTTAGTATTTAAAAGATTAGGCATATTTTTATCCCCTAAAAACTTTTCATCTGTTCATTTCCTAGCTGAAAGTCTAGTGATTCGAAAATTATAGGGATCAAAACTTACCATGCCAGGAAAAGTCCCGAAAACTACTTTTTTGGGGAAATATCCGTTTAAAAGAGGTTTACCATTTTTTTTCGAAAATGGTAACACAACAAATTAATGGGTTTCAAATCCGAACAGACTCCGAAAAGTTTGAAAAGTTAGAACTACATACGAAATAGATAGTACCATGTGAAAGTACTACTGTAAAAGAGGTTTCATTTTAATGGTAACACCATAGGGTTTCATCCACAGACTCAAAAGTTAGAAATACATGCTTAATAAATAGTACCATGTGAAAGTACTACTGAAGAGGTTTCATTTGAATGGTAACACCATAGGGTTTCATCCACAGATTAAAAGTTAGAACTACATACTAAACAAATAGTATCATGTGAAAGTACTACTGAAGAGGTTTCATTTGAATGGTAACACCATAGGGTTTCATCCACAGATTAAAAGTTAGAACTACGTACTAAATAAATAGTATCATGTGAAAGTACTGCTGAAGAGGTTTCATTTGAATGTTAACACCACAGGATTTCATCCACTTCTAAAATGATGGTAAGGCCTTTTAATATAATTAATTTCATGTGGTCCTTATTGTTAGGGGGAGAAGAGCTAATGATAACAAAGATAGGCCAAGATAGGTATTACAAAAAGCTTTTTTTTTTCCAACAGATAACAGCATTTTATGAGGATAATTTCCCTGAAGTGATGAAGAATATTTTAGTAGTAAAAGGTGAGATTATGCACTCCTCCTCTTTTATAAGAAATTATTGATAATAATAGTTTTTGTAAACAAAACAGTGTATTCCATTGCTTTGACTGGCAGTGAGTCTAAAATGCACTTTTCCTTCTTAGATCTCCAAGTTGATTTCGTGCACTCCCTTAACTGCTATTAATCTTGAGGCTTATTTTTTCATGCATGGGGGGAGGGGGTGGTGCCTAAATAGGGTGGGGGGGAGCTTATTCAATTTTTTGAAAAAAAACTTAACTACTGTCAGCAAATGAGCAATAACTTCATCCTGGTTCGGATGACGGAAAGGACTATCTGGTATGGAGACTTGAGTGTGTTATTACTTTAAGATGATAGAAGGGTTATTTATTTGTGGAAACTGAATAACGTTATTTAGTAGAGTCTCAATAAAGTTTTATTGCAAATCTAAAGGAGGCTTATGTTAACTAGTCTTTTAGCCCCGCTCACGTAGCCCTCTATTGCCAAGTCATTTAACCCCCAAAGATGAAGCCGTTAAGCCCCATAAATGAGATACTTAGCCCCTTCTGTTTGTACATATCTGTCAGTTGTATCGCACAAACAATACATTTATAATATGCAAAAGGCTTATTAGAAAGGGTTAAACAAAATTGGGTTCAACGTCTGGCTAAGCCAAAGTGAACACTAAATTTGTGCGTAAAAATCGCTCTTTCTCTGCCGAAAGAGAGAATCCATAGTCTGAAAAACGTCTTTGTTTGCAGGACTGAAGTGGCGCAAACTTTGTTTTGGGCAAATCGGTTTGCTTTTGAAGTTTTCCTTCAAACAGAGGCAAAAACTTTTGCTTCCGTCCTAACAATGGCAGTACATGTACGAGATAACAATTGAATTCACTTTTCGAATTTTCCATTGAACTATGCCATGACGCATAACGAGGAAAAGTATTAAACTTTGCTCGCCTTGTGAACCAAAAATGTGCGTTATGTTAAAAATGCGGCATGTACCACACCTCGAGCCCTGATTTACTTAAACAAGCAACACCGGAATAACCCGTAATACCTAGCAATAGATAAAATGTAATAGAGAAACAGAAACCATAAGTCGTGTTCCGCAGAAAAAGCCAGTTCCCTTGGCTCCTGATACTTTCTCGTATAAAATGTTTCTTCGAGATGTAGTTCCAACCTTATTTTTCGTTTTAACTTTGATTTTCTTTTTTACAGCTCCTAAGCTATTTCCCATAGCATATTCTTTGGTAAAACCTTTCCTGAATGAAGTTACAAGAAACAAAATAAAAATTTTTGGAGGTATGTCTGTTGCTCCTTTGTTTGTAATTTGGTCAGTTTTACCTCTCCGAATATAGCTGGTCCACTTATATATTATATATATGTGTTTGCTTCTTTTTGTTGTTTCTTCATTGACGGTAAAGAAGGTGAAAGGTTAAAGTGAACTTCAGAAACAACGACTATATCGTTCCTAAGAAACGTCTTTTAACTTATCGCTTTTTGAGTATTTTTTTTTTTAATTTGCCTTACAAATCTGAATGGTCTTGGAGCTAAGTTTGCAGACAGCTTAATAAAATTCGGACCGGAAAGTGAAAATTACTCGTCGTGTGTTCGCGTTTCCGACCTGAAACCATTCAATATTTTGGGTCTCCGTTTTGCAAAGAACTGTAGGAAAATGTATCCAGATGAAAAACGCACGTGCACAGAGCGAATAAAGTGTTTTACCTTCTGCCCTTGTTAATTGTGGCTGCTGAAATAATTTTGTCCGCAAAGAACCTTGACCATGTTCTCGGAAAAAGCTCAGAATAAATCAATTTGGCCTTTGAGAACGAATTTTCTCAGCGTTTTTGCATGTCGGGGGACTATTAGTGCCAATCGTTGTTTTTAAATTTGAATGTTACAGCTTTTTAAACGAAATAGTTTCAAGCAAAAGTCAAGTAAATGGTTTTCTTACCTTTCCATGCCTTGAAAATTAGTTATTTACTCACAATTCTTTGAGTTAAATTGTGTAAAATTCGCTGTATGTCCGTGGAAATGAGAAAACTGTCAAAGTTGCCATCTTTTTATCCTTGCAACATCGAAAAGCGCGGGAAAAAAAACGTTGGCCATCGTTGGCCAACACACTGGACGAGGGTCGCTATGGCAACCGTGTGGAATGGGAAAAAAGGAGAACATAAAAGATTTTTAGGTCATTTCCGTGTTGTCCCAAACCTCTGTTTCAAAGCGAAGCTAAGTGCGAAGCCATTGATATGAAGATGAGTTTTATTCTCAACAGAACTCGTTTTCACAAGAAAGGTTTTACACTTAACCTCGTTTTGAAAGTGAGAGTTTTTGGAACTCGTAAGTGGCCTATTCTCCCTGTTCTTGCACGAAAAAAAAAAATTCACTGGACATTTTTGTGGTATAAATTTCTGTGATTAAAACAAATCCAAAATTTCGATTTCCGTTAAAAGTAATGCTTTAAGGGGCATATTAATGTGACAATTATTGTAACAGAAATTTATGTTTTTGGGAATTCTTTCATTGTCTCACTAGGAGACTGGAAAAGCGAGCTCCTCGAATACATCGACGAAGACAATTTACCAGAATACTACGGAGGCAAATGCCAAGATCCTGATGGGAACCCTAAATGTCAGACCAAGGTAGATATAGATTTGTGTACTTTACTTAATACATTCAGTTCCCAACAACTCGAACCCTCTATACCTCGAACCTCCCGTTTACTCGAAGCAAGTTTCATTTCGCTTCAGATCATTTTCTATATAATTTTACCCTCGATAACTCGGACTCCCGATAATTCGAACTTTTTTCTACTTCCCTTGAAGGTTCGAATTATTGGGAGTTGACTGTAACCTATCTCGAGGACCTGTTCAATATCTAAGAACATTCGTCACTTTAGAAAGGAGAAGTGGACTGGGGCAAAAATGTTTCCCGCAATTGTTTCTGGGATCGTTACCGTGGACGCGCCGCTCGGCTATTAGGAACTTTAAGATCCAACGACGCGGACGGCAACGGGAAGGTAAAAAAAAGCGATAGGTTTAATAAGCAAAACAACAACTTCGCAAGTGCATCACACTTTTTTTGTACATTTCTTTCCCGTTTTTGCACGATTACGACGTGAACATGCCTAATTTCGCGTTTTATGGAGGACGCAGGGGCCCCCCTGGAAGGACGTAAACAAGCAACGACGAAATTTTATTTCCCTTTCTGAGCTTGAATTTGGTCCCCTGAAATTCAGCTTCAGTAGGCTTCGCCTACAATTGACAAAGTGAGTGGGTAGGAATAATCGCTATAAAGTCTGAAAGAACGCAAATTCACTTTTTAAGCGACCTTCTTGTCGCCGTCGCGTAGTTGGATCTTAAAGTCCCTATTGTCCAGTTGTTTGCCCGGTCCATAGTAACAGTCCCAGAAGTCTTTGCGAAGGTTAACTCAGCCCAGTTTCCTTATCGATTGTTAAGTGGCGACTTGTCCCTTTTTTATTAGCCTGAGAAAACAGCCGAAATTTGGCGACGCTACCAGTGGTTTCCCTGACAAGTGACGTCCGAGAAACGAGCGCAGAAATTCCGTACTGATGACACGTCACTACCCAGAGCTGGGTAGTGCTTCTGATTGGTCGTGCCGCGTGGGAAATTTGATTCAATCAATCAGAAGCACTACCCAGATCTGGATAGTGACACGTCATCAGTATGGAATTTCTGCGCTCGTTTCAAATTACAGAAGGGTTTGGGGGCTAGTTGAAATGACTTGTGGGCTAGTACATACTAGATACAGCTTGCCCGAATGGTAGGCTGTAAAACTGACTTTCTTTGCACCCTGCAAGGCTGGGTTGCTAAACGAATTCGTCATTTTCCAATTGAAATTTCTTTCTATTTTGAAGATCTGTTATGGTGGTGATGTACCTACGTGTTATTACCGTAAAGAATGTGGCAAAGTCAGCAGTTTGAAGGAAGAGAGTTGCCAAGTGAGTTGTGTCAAACGAGGAACCGCTCTTAAACTGAACTACGAAGTTAAAGCTCCTGGCAGTATACTAAGGTAAGCTGTTAAACATTTGTGTGTCTCGCGCGTTCCGCGCGATGAACCAAGAAAAAAGAGAGACTGCTGGCAGTAGTCATCCAAACCCTTAGATAATGGGGGATGGGGGGGACGGTCTCCAAAAAAATTTTTTGTCTCCAATTTGGTCTAAAAATAAAGGGGGGGCCTCCCCTAGATCCGCCACAGTTACTATTCAACAGTTTTTTGTTTCAAAATGTGCCTTCGGACCCGTAAAGTTACCGGGCCTTTCGAGAAACGGGCCCTGGATAATCCTGTGCGAAGCGTTGTGCTCTTCAACTAAACTGTAAAAAATTATTGAACCTTCATTTGTTTACTTATTTGTAAAGTATATAAAGTGACAGTTTTGTGGTAAATGTGGTACTCGTCGTAAAAGAAAGTTTTATTCGCTTTAAAAATGAAGTGGTTTTTTTTTTTGCTCTCTTGTAGCTGGCAGTACCGTTCTCTGGACCACGACATTGGATTTGGTGTGTTTTTCTCCGAAGTGGAGAAGAAAAGTTCCAAAGACTTACAAGAAATGGTGCGTGTTGTTGTGTTCAAGATCCTGGCTTAGCTAGGAAACGTCTTAGGAAGACTGTTCTCCCTTTGCATTCAAGAAGGAGAAGGGTAACCGGGTTCGAGGTTTTTGCCATTATTCAGTAGGGAGCTTAAACAACGACGACGGCGACCGCAACGAGAACGGCAAAATAGCAATAGGTTTATATTAGCAAAACAACATCTTTGCACGTGCATCACGCTTTTTTGCACATTTCTTAGACTACAAAGTGAAAGTGCCTATTTTCACGTTTTGTCGAGGACGGGAACACAGGAGATTAACCTTGTTTTTCTTTCCTGGACATCATCATCATCATCATCATCATCACCATCACCATCACCATCACCATCATCATCACCATCACCATCACCATCACCATCACCATCACCACCATCATCATCATCACCATCATCATCATCACCATCATCATAATCAACATCATCATCATTATCATCATCGTACTTTATATTAAAAGTAGGTTGGGAGAGCAGATATGAACTTACTACAAACATGAGGAGACATACAACCATTCACAACGAGAAAATAAACATGCAGGAATAAAGTTTAAATACAGCAAACAAGTGAATTTACTAACAGTGCACTCGTCAACCCCGCTAAGAGTAGTCCCTAGCTCTTTGGCTCGTCAATGTATATTGCCAGAAGCCTATTCGGCTCATGATATTGCTATGAAACGTGCTATAAAGCAATGAATCGTTCTTGTAGATTCCTACGGAAAGACGAAATTGTCATATGATTCCTGAAGAAGGATCTATTCTCTGTGAGAAACCAGGCATCTGTAAGTTCATCATTTATCTTATTATAATAATCAGGATGATAAAGTTAGGGTAAATATTTTGCCTTATTTAGCATTTAGTCATGCGAACATTATCCATAGTCGGGGGGTCGCTGGTTATTCTGAACAAAACTAGACGCCTACAATAGCATACATTGGGCTGTGCGATGTAGTGGTCGAACATTTGGAACGTGTAATGATAATCACACTTTTTCCATGCAGTGTATAGTTACTCTTATCTTGAGAGATAAATATGTTGTCATTTTGTAATTGTGTGATTGTCTAGGTTAGCGTATTCCTGAACAGGACTGCAAATTGCAGTGACCTATTACTCCATGCAATAAATTTTCCTTTCATTCCAAGTCTAGATATTTTGTCTTAAATGACCCACCCTTCCCCTTAAACGTCAAATGATTGGCCCCATAGAAGGGGGGACGGGACACACAACGGCTTCTGGGTCATCAACCCGCCTTTTTGCTTTTTTCTAGTCGGAGACGGCGATCGAAACGTAAAAAATAATTGAGTTTTGCCCCAGGAACCCTAATAATTAAAGTTCTGTTGGTACCCCTGGACACTAAAGGATGCTGGGAAGAAGCGGTTTGGTTAAATGACTTAAAATTTGTAACTAATGTTTTTAAGTGTAGGAAAACCGAGCGTGAATCACGTGATATATTAGGCTTACCTTGAAATGACGCTGACTTAATCTCATTTCTATCTTTCTAGATATTCTTCGATTTGATAACTCGTACAGTTGGACAAGAAATAAAAAGATTCTCTACAATGTAGAAATTACAACGGAAGCGCTGGACTCGTTGAAGTTTTGATTTTTTGTAAAGCATACGTCTAATCATAGATGTAAATTTGGAATTATTACGTTATATTCAATAGACTTCTGTGGAGGGTATGTCTTTTTTAAGGGAGTGGGGGTAAGGGATGAGAGATGTTGGTGGTATGTGAATGCTTGGGCATGACTCAGCTGTTATTTGATTTTTCACGCAACGTAACGATCATTCACGTTGCGTGATGATTTTCACGTAACTATCATCCCCGTTGCGTAACGACTTTCACGCAATGATCCGCCCCGTTGCATGACGACCTAAATAGCCTACTTGGATCCCAGCGAGGTTTAGTATTTTCTATAGGCCCGTTAAAGCAAACGGTTTGTTTAGGATAACCTGTTTTACTAAACGTAAGACTACCTACTTTCGCGCATGTGTATCCACCACTCTCCTCTTCCTCCACAACTATAAAATTTTTAGTTATACAATAGAGAGGAGAGGTTGTTACGTAACGTTGCCATGGTAGCAGAATTTCTGGATCTTCACACCGTTGTCCTGCAAATATGGCACTCAGGAACAAAACTGTCGCCTGTACTGTCAAAAAAGGTAGTTGAAATCCAGAGAATTTTGCTACCATGGTAACTGACGTCACACTTCGCCTCTTTATTTCAGTGAAGATTCAATGTAGCATAGACCAGTCAATTCAAATTGGAATTTGTCAGTGGCTTCCAAGCCGCTAAATGTTGTACAAATATTTTTCAAACCTCAGTATTTTAAACAAGCAGGGCTGTCATTAGCACTCGTGATGTAATATAGTGTATAATTCATTTTAGTACAATCCAACTAGTGGTCTGTACCACTAGGCTATATGTTATAGCCCACTAGTAGCGAAAAGCGCCGACTTTGAAAACCAAAAACATGGCGGCTGAATCGCGTTTTCAGGCTAGCTAAAGTTGTTTGTCTTGATATTTTTGACAAACTAGTTGGATTTTACTAAAACAATTATTCTTCTCGCCCTCTAGACTGCAAAACAGTCGGTTTTTTTTCTGAAAATCAGTAAAGGAATCGGTAAAGCGTTGCCAAGGTCTTGCTCGCGCGAAGCGCGCGCGCCTTATTTTCAGGCTCTTTCCAGACCTTTTGTTTGACTGCTCGCGCGTACTTGAATACGCAAAAATACGGACTATTTTGCAGTCTACTCGCCCCCATGGGCTACTGACTTAGAGCCCATTCGGGCTCGAGGAATAGTTGTTAAGTATAACAGCTCATTAGAGTTTTTAGCTTTACTTTTATATTCAGGCCCTGTTAGGGTAAAATTTCGACAAGCGACGTGGCCTTGAAAAGCGACATAAGACTAGTTGAAACGGGCACAAATGACATAAACATGGTTGAAACTGCAACTACGATCTGGAAAAGTGCAAATATAATAGTAATCTTCTGACAGCGGCATGGCTTCGTAATCAATACGCGAAACGACGGGTTTTGAAATTCGGACTAGAGACATACGCACCCCCCCCCCCCCCACCCCTTCCCCCCGAGAGGGCCCCTGTAATGCATTCACAATCTGTTACTAAGATCCACTTCGACTCTTACCGGTAGAGGCACTTTTGTACCAGAAGTCACTGTACTACTGTACGAAACGTCAAGATTTGGGGGGACAAACAGAAAAAAAATCATAGCTGCTGTTAAACAAATTGGGTTCTGAGTCTTTTTAATTTCAGCCTTATTGTCGGTTTAAAAAAAGGAATCCATCTGAGACCATTGATTAAGACACTCAGGGAGCCTTCAGAACTGCTTGTATTCTTGATGCTTATTTGAAGTAGATAAATAATATTCTATTCTAGTTGTGAGGGTTGGCCAAATCAAAAATGGCTTACAACGCGGTTTGTTGAACACTGTTAACTCTTATTTTTTGAAAGGAATAGAGGATGCAAACGTCAAATTGGTAAGAGCTAAATTTTGTTTAACCGAGTAGTCTCTCCTCTAAGAACACAAATTGTGACTTAAAGATGCTCGAAATTTTAAAAATGTAGTTTCGTGTTAAATAAAAAAGGGTTGGGACAATGAAAAAAAGAAAAGGTGATTTTAAAGAAACCTTGAACATGTCTTAAAATACGTAATTTAACATCGGACGTATCAAGTTCTTTGCATTAATGGCCTTAGTCTTTAAATAAATGTGTTTGTTTATTTGTAAGGTCACAAACGATGTTTAATGTACGTGTACAGCATTCGTCTATTTATTACCTATTTATTCATTTAATTATTGTTTGTTTAATCCTATCAGTGTGGATCATTTATTTATTTTACGTTGAATTCCTATCAGTCGAGATCTTCGAAATAAAATTTGCAGTAAAAAGAAGGTCTTCGTAATTTTGCTTAGGGGCTAACCTGGCGAATTCCCCACGCACAATGGCACACCGTAAACTTCCGATTACAAGCTTCCCCCCGCCCCCCAAATTTATAGGCCCATCTACCTGTAAACAACAAAAAAATACATCAGGTTATAAGCCACCCCCTGCCCCCCCCCCGAATATAAGAGCCCCCTTCTAGCTTGTATTGAAATCTTTACCCTTTCACTGCCACGGTGTTTGATGGGGTTTTGTAAGATAACTCTACCTTTTCAGTCTATGGACGAAATCCTATGATGTGACCATTCAAATGAAAGGTCCCTGCCTGTACTTTCACATGATGTCATTTGTTTCTCAAAATTGTAGAAAATGAAATTTGAAAATTTGGTCGAAATTTGCCCTTGGCCACATTTGGCAGTGAAAGGGTTAATGAATTCGACTTTTTACGACGTTTTGAAGCTTAAAAAAGGGATCAAATTCAAATAGGATTTTGATTAGCACTGCTATGTGGCTTGTTTTGAAATCCTTTTTTTTTAATGAACACTGAATATGTAAAACTCGATCACGTGGTATAAAAGGTGTGTTCCCTTTTGGAGCTTGCCCTGGCCTTGTGCGCTTGCGTCGGTGGCGCTTTAAAACAACAACACTTAACACTTAAATAATATGTAGATTTAGTCAGGGCTAAAAGCGAAGCTCTAGACAACATGGATAAAGAACCAATTTCCTCTTTCCGTTTTCGTCTTTATTGACTCTTTAGTTTTGTCTGCTTTACGCTTTACAAGACGCGGGTGGCCATGCTCCAAAATAACCTCGAGCTGAGTTGCATTTGGGTTGCCATTCGTTTTGGTTGAGTTATTTTACATCGGTATACCTGTGTGCGGACGGGCGTACGGTCACGTGATTACCAAAAATTTCGCGGATGGGTAGATTATAACAAGACTCTTCCATCTCGTTCCCAGGGTCTTGATTTCCTTATCTACGTCTCTGAAGAAGAACGAAAGAAGCTGGAAACGACGTTAAAAGTCACATACTTGAGTTTCCATTGCACAGGGCCGTATATACCGCCGGACTTGTTTTTGTATACTCACACACATTCTTTCACTTTGTTCTCTTTGTATTCCCGTAAATGGCTCTTGCATAAAGTACCATTTCGCTCCTTTTCGCTTATTTTACTTCATGTGCTTCCCCCCCGTGATTAACGTTTCTGTTTTAAGTTTTGTCAAAAAGTGAAAAACAAATTTAGTGCACGTGCAAGCACGTGCGTTAGTTTAGTCCAATCAGCGAAACGAAATTTTGCACGCGCTTTAGAAATTTTACAAGAACCTTCCGGATTTGTTTCTCGAAAAATTTCAGGGAGAAAGTTTTAATCAAACATAGTCCTGCACTCATCATTCAATACCCGCGCACTTTCCCAAGACAAGACAAGGGCGTAATACTTGATAACCAGCGACTAATTAAAAAGGTGGGTAGAAATCTTTATCCTGCGGAGAAACGGATCTGCTTTCTTCCGAGCAATGATTTATTTTATTACCAAAGTAAACGACGGAGTATTGCAGGTGGTTCTAACGTTTGAGTCTGTGGATAAAATACAATGGTGTGACCATTCAAAGGAAACGTCTTTAGCAGTACTTTCACATGGTGTTGCTTATTTAGTATGTAGTTCTAACGTTTGAGTCTGTGCATGAAAACTTATGATGTTACCATTCAAATGAAACCTCTTCAGCAGTACTTTCACATGGTACTCTTTATTTAGTATCTGGTTCTAACTTTTGAGTCTGTGGATGAAATCTTTTGATGTTACCATTCAAATGAAACCTCTTAGTTTAGTAGAACTTTTACATGGAACTGAATATCTAGTATGTAGTTCTAACTTTCGAGACTGTGTACTAAATTCTGCGATGAAATCTGTTTAGCACTACTTTCGAAAATTATAATTTCTCTTTTAAGCATTAATACAAAACGAAATTTGACTTAAACGCATTCGAACTTTAAATTCGTTTAGGGCTGCTGTCCACACGAGAACGATCTATTCATCAACTTGTCTACTCTAAAGTCCGTTTACAATAATTTTTAATCGTTCTTTCGTCGACAGTATTAAGCCGTTAACGCATAGGCTTAAGTGCTCTTTCAAAAACAAACAAACAAACAAACAACAACATTACCAGTAACAAAAACATTATGTAGTGTACTCTTGCTGTAATACTTAATTCAGCGTCGAAGATTTGCCCTTTCCTCTACCTCAGTTGGCGAGTAACAGTTTGTTTAGTTCGATGCTCTTGTGGGGAAGCAAGTTCAGTTATTGAAGTGTAACGTATAATCTATACTGGCTCACAGACTTGTGTAGGTTCATCTGTCTGGCAGAACCGGGACGGGAGGGGTGTGGTGGGTGGTAGGTCCCAGAGCCTCTAAGCAATGACATAATCTTAGCACGTTACGCGCTGGGCACGACATTCGCTGGGGCAGAAATGACTGAGACGTCGGTTGAGGTCGAAAGCTTTTATTAGCTTTCAATTTTATCCGGATTTTAAACTTGTCAGCGTCGTCCCCAACCCTTTTCCTGCACCTCCCATTTTCCCAGGTTGAAGCCGCGAGAACGAGGTACCCAACCCGTCTCCACCTTGATTTCCAGTTCCCGTGATAAACAGTCTAATTAATTATTTAATCGACTGTTACCAAAGTAAGCCTATTGAAAATTGTTTTATTTCTTCTTCTTAGCGACAAGGTGTTACATTTCCTCTATTATCGCCCTATGCTTCTGGTCTACCCACCACCACACATTTCATATAGATAACTTACAGACATTTTAGATCTGATCTGCTATTAATCGTGTCTAAATTTGCTGACACGGACACTCATTAAACGAATGACATTTCAGTTTCCAAGAATGACATACTGTAAATACACTATTACGTTCAATTCCACAATCCGGTTTGCTTCAGTAAATCCTGTCTCCTTTTATTTCAATTTTTTTAAACAAGCGCGAATTCTAAATTATTACAATCATTATATATAGTTAATCGTACTTCACGGATTATCTCCTATAAACGGGGACATTTCTTCGAACTTCATTTCTTAGTTACATTAATACAATAAGACAAACCACCTTCTAAATATACATTTAATGATATCTGTCAATTCAACGTCTCGGTTTTATAATGTTGGTAGATACATTTGACTGAAGTCTATATGATGTAAACATAATTTGCCTTGATATATTTGTTTAATGAACCTTAACATCTTTGCATGCATTTTACAATTTTTTTAACGCAAAAATTGCACTCTTAACTAACACCGATATACAATAACGTATTCCCATCCCTCTATGAATCATCTAATAATTGTTTGATATAACATATCCGCTAGCGCTTCATATCTTTATTATAGGCATATTAATTTCACGCAAACACTAACTTGTTTGATAAAACGCACGCTTTGCGGTCTATTCATGATACCGTTGTTAACATGTAATCTCTTCTAAATAATCCACCTCACGTTTGAGAAAGACAGTTCATTCGTTTCCAACATTTACTTTCAGATATCTAACACTCTCCACTCCCCACTCACCAAAGGCTAAAACAAGCACAGCAATTATTCTTATCCATGTGCGAACATCTAAATCGCTCATTCATAAAATGATTGCATTCTTGATCACGAATGCGCACTCGTATTTTCATAAGATAAATAATAAGCGCCCACTCATAATTAAAAAAAACACTGCAATGTTCGTTTAAACGTAAATTTATTTTTTGATAGTCCATGTACACTTTTAATTCTTTCGGTAAATATTGCAATTCCTCCTCGATGCATTTATTTGCAGTTTAATAACACATGCACACACAATGCATTTATCTGCGGTTTAATAACACATGCGCACATTTAATTTTAACATGAAAATGACAATTCTGATTCACCCTTGACAAGGCTCCATATCCGCAATACATAATTCGTAAGTTTATAGCCATAAATATTGCAATAACCTCTTAACAGACATCAAACACTTTTTGGAAACCACGCGCACACTTGCAATTATTATATATACATTGCAATCCCCATTATTAAATTTAATAACCTTTTAATTATTACATAGTCATTGCGACTACTCTTAGTAAATTAGTCCCTAGACTAACAACATGCACTCTCTTACTTCTTACATAAGCATTGCAGAACTCTCGTAGTAAGTTAATTAGCAGATTAATAAAATACGCGCACTCTTAATTCATAAGTATTTCAATACCCTCGTAGTAAACTAATCACCAAATAAATAACACACCCTCTCTTAATTCTTACATGAGCATCGCACAATCCACCTTAGAGAATGACAAGACATTAACAACCAGATTTACAACATGCGCTCTTTCATTCTTATACAAACATTTCAATCCCCATTAACATATTTAAATATTTTAACCCTCCTTAAAACATTTATCAAGAGTTAAACAACATTCAAATATCCTATATAATTATATAAACATTTGCACCACTCTATACGCATGTATTAGTCTATTCCAAACATGCGCGTTCTTTTAATTCGTGACGAAACAGTGAAAACCCCGTATATACAAAAATGATCGCAATACATTATCACTTGTTTGATAGTACACACGCACTCACAATAAAAAATTGTCAGTATCACCGCGATCACTCTTAATACATTTATCACTATTTCAATAACACGCGTGCTCTTAATTCTCTTCAGTTAATAACATTCACAACCTTTAATTCTTTTAAACATAACAAACTTTCTTACATCTATAAACATTACATTTCCCTTTTTAACAGTATTCTTAAGTAGTATTATATTAACACTAGTTTTAAAACATGCGCGCACACTAGATTCTCATATAAACATTTCAGTCTCAATTAATACATTAAATAACATACTTTAAAAACACGCGTGCATTCGCAATCCTCAAATATAAACATTTCAATAACTCCTTATAGCTATTATTGCCATCTCACATGAACTTTAAATTCGTATGACAACCCCTGCTTAATAGATTAATCAATTGATTACTAACATATGCAAACTCGATCACAGTTCATACACAAGTGTCCCAAAATACCTTCTTAACATATTAATCACTAGATTGAGCACACACAGGATTCTACTATAAACATACAATTCCCCCTTAAAATATCCGTCACTATTTCATAAACACGCGCAGTCATAAGTGATAATACTCATATAAACACCGCAAACCCTTCTTCATGCAATTATCTTTAGTTAAATATCTGCTGAAATCTCTCATTGTAAACTCTTGTACAAACTTTACAATCTTCCGTTAACAGCGTAATCACTGTTTAAAAAACACCCACAATAACTCAATATCAATATTCTTGGCGCAAAACATTACAATACCCTCTTTAAAAATTCATCACTAGTTCAGTAACTTGGGCGTACCCAGCTTAGATTGCGCATAAGCAAACATCAAAATCCCCCTTTAATAAACCACTAATTTGTTTAATACCACTTGCGCATTCTTAATTCTCATATAAACATTACAATGTCAGTTCATACATTCATCACTATTGCCCTCCCTGAATTTCTATATCAACATTAAAATTCCTCCTCAATATATATTTCATGCCACCAGTAGTACACGCCCACTCTTAACTCTTATAAAAATGTTGCTATCCCGGTTCAATACACTTATCATTATTTTACTAACATGTACTCCACTCTCCTCTTAAAACACACATCACTTGACTGTATGATAGCTATTACGCAACCACTTAATTCTTATATAAACATATTATTTCATCTTAAATACATTAATTTACCCCGCTTGTGAACATGCACACACTTAATTCGCATGTTAACATTGCAATCTTGACTTGATGTGTTATTATTTAAAGTTGGCACTAACATGGGTGTTTACTCTATCATTGTTCCCTTTTTCTCAAAGACCAAGAAGCATTAAGTCTGCTCACAGTTTTTAAAGATTAGGTAATAAAAACAAGAAAAGCTAAATTATAATTATTAAAATGTCTTGTGGTGTATCCTCTTGTCCTTGCATCATGTCCTGTGGGGATCATCATTGTTCCAAAGAAGCACATCAATTGGTGGGACTTGGAGGAACGTCATCTGCAAATTCCGAACAGACACCTTGTTGAGTAGGATTGCTTTAATTTTTAAGAAACAGGACTGATTTTTAAAAAATAATGGTTAATGGGCATTTATTGAAGTATTTTCCACAGTGAGCACAGTTTGCAAAAATTTGTTGGGTCAAGAGGGTTAATATCTGCCCCAATTACCTCGCTTTGGATGGCATTTTGCTACTTCCTGGTCTCCTTGATAAACCTCTCTGACTCATAAATCAGCCTGCAAATGCATTAATATTAAACCTGAGATCCATGCCTCTCTCAATCTTGTTTAACATATCATCTATTATATAAAAACAGTCCAAGCTCTTGTAAGCAACCACCTCGGAAATTTGAAAAAGTGGTCGTAACTAGAGCTGGTTACTCACAAGAATGAGCTCTTATAAGCGACCATGTGCTAAAACAATGGTGGGTGTTCCCTATATGAGAGCTTTGGAAATACATTGAAATAATTCATAAAGAAAAACAAAACAAATTAATTAACATTTAATGAGTGTCTTTATCATACCTGATATAGATACAGCTAAACTTTATATCCAATTTTTTAGACAAAAATAACCCTAAGATCTTTATCAACAAACCATTAGCACTGTGTGCAGTTTCATTAAAGAGTTGATTGTTATAAATATAAGACTCTGAGTAGTTGCTTACAAGAGCTTAAAACAAAAGAAGAGTCCAGTTGGGTAATCCCAAAAGTGGTCGTGGTTGCTTACAGGACCGGGGTTGCCTACGAGAGCTTTTCATTACAAAGTTTATGTCACAGTTCAATTGGGGTTTCACTAAGGTGGTTGCAAGTAAAGCTGGTCACTTACGAGGAGGTCGTAAGGAGAGCTTCGACTGTAATTATTTCTTCTTTCCAAATAACAACAAAAGTCATGTCCCCTCTCCATTTCCAAATGTTGTGCAATGTGGCCAATGTGAACATCTTCAAAGCTGATTGCCTGACTTCCCAAAGAACTATAAATAATAATATAATGGTGTCGTTAGTTGAGCGTTAAAGGGAACTGCTGAAACTTTGCTACTTGCGTTGTCGTCTAATACGATGCATCGAGCTTCTTACCTTCATTTTTCATCCGAGGCTTTTTTGTACTTATTACAAACAGCATAGTTTTCGGTGAGGTTTTCAATACAATTGAACGTGCAAAGATTCAGAGAAGAATCGAATTTCGAACTTCTTCGATCTCTAATGAGGCCCTGCCAGGGGGGGCTCCCATGTCGCTCGTCTGAATTTTAAAACGTCTCGTGTCGGTGTTTATTAATGCTTCACGTCGCTGTCGGAAATTGAACGAAAATTCTTCGTCTTTGTCGGAATTTTAGAAAAGGGGGATAGCGATGGGTTTTAAAGAAACCATTACAGTTGAGCAATTTCTCAGTTAACCTTTCGCGTATAGAACACCTATACAGCGCCATTCACAATTAAGGGTGTGTTCCTTTCGGTGAATCCAGAAACGGATTTGGATCTTAAAACGGATTTCACGTTCCTTTCGGCAAATCCAAATTCGGATTTTTGATCTGGGGAATCCTTTTTGAAAAAGGATTCACATTGGATTTGAAATCCGAAGAATCCGAATCCAGATTAACGGATTAGTCATCTACGCTGTTCCATTCACAGTGGATTCGAAATTAGTCAGATGATCCAGCTGTACTTCCAGTTGAAGTATTCCCGCACAGTTTCCTAATTGCTGCCATTTGCCGTAAAACATCTGAAAACACTAGAAGATTGTTCATGGTGGTACAGTAAAATGTCCATGTGCTGACCATTTGTCGCTAAAGATTGCTTAAAAACACAAATAAGTAAAAGGGACAAATAACTGCTATCTTTCTACAAACTCGCTCTTGAACGCGATAGGCACTCGATCGTGTTACATAGAAAACCGAGCTACGAAACTGGATCAAACTGAGCCGACAACCTTTAGATAATTTTCAACTTTAACACGCTACTTTCTTGATCTGTTTATGTTCCATCGTCGTTATTCGAACTACCGACCACAAAATTCTGCACGGTATAATCGCATAATTTGTCAAACAGTAGAAAACATGTCATTTCTTGAGAGGCTCAGGCTGTCATGCATATTGCACGCGTTTGCGAAAGGTTACCAAGGTCACAAATCCAATTTCGGATTTCACGTTCCTGTCGACCGCGAAATCCGGCAAATCTCGGATCAGAAATCCGTTTTTGGATTCGCTTAAAGAACACTGTCAGCACACCCTAAGTGATCCACGTTCAACATTTTAAGACTAACTGACCTGATAAATCGTACGTGAAGGCCGGTTAACGGTGGTCTACGCTGTGCGGTGTTTAAGTTACCTGGTCCCTGGTCTCTCCACCGTCGTCATCGTCCGACAGAGGTCGACAAGGATATGAGAAGTTCAGAAACAAGCAAAGTATTCACCATTTTCACATAGACCATAATTCACCTTGTTTACCCCCCAAAACTTTGCATAACCATTGTTTTCGATTTCTCTTGGGACGACTGTAATACCCTGGAGAATTTGGAAACATTGGTTATGCAAAGTTCTGAGGGGGAAAACAAGGTGCGTCATGGCCTATATGAAAGTAGTGATTACAAGAGATGTAAAGCGAGCGTAATTTAAGCTATTTGACGGACAACCTAGTCCTAAGGTCTCCCAGGAGTTGTGCGGGGTTGCGTAAATGAAGACTACGCAACGGGCCAACGCGACGCGCTCAGGAGGGTCTACTGAAATTCCCTGACGAGAGACAACCTCTGAAGCGCAACGAAAATTGACGAAAATTACTTCTTCTAGGCATTCAGAATGGTGATAAATTAGCCAAACCACCGTTCTTTGTCGCATATTCTCGGCTTTGCCGTCACTGTCGCAATTTGGCAGCGGGAGGTTGTCGCTTGTCGCCATTTCATTTTAGGCTCTGTCGCTACTTTTTGGGTCATGTCGCTTGTCGGAATTTACCCTGGCAGGGCCTCTCTAATTGACCTAATTCAGGAGATAAAGCGCGAAATGTGCAAAATTGATTTTAAAAAACCCGCCAAAATTTGTGACGCATCAACCAGCGGCTCTTCTGATTGGTTGACGTTGTTTCAAGTGCAAAATCATGAAGAAGCGTCGAAGAAGCGAGGAGAATATTTGAACCAAAAAATGGAGACAAAATATCAATGATACAGTAGTTCAGGAAATTGTAGCAGATTATTTTCTCCTCCTTTTTATCTAGGCTGAACTCCATAGCAAAAATTTTGAAGAGTCTTTGAAGCCAAAGGAGTGCGACACCAAAAAATCCGGCACATAAACTGCAGCAGAGAAGCCAAAAATGATAAAATTGGTTGATGATGTCAGTTTTTCTTAATAGGAATGATTTTAGTCTCAACTCAGGAAAGTTTTGTCTATATTTTAGACTCGGGTGGGTGTTTGGCCAAGCCAACTACCCCACCCTACCCCCTTCCCCTTCCCTCCCTCCCTCTCGTTGATGGATAGTGTGGAAAGCTAGGCCTGGGACCGAAAAGTTGACATTGCATTGGGAATATTTGTGCGTCGTGTTCTTACAACGATCGATTGCGGAAAGTACTTGAGCTTAGTTTTCTCAAGTTATCCGGTAATATTCAGAGCTATCTTAATGTTATGTTTTTGTGGAATACAATCCCGTTATTACCGAAGATAACCATGGGCTTCTAAAACTACGGAGGAACGGTGTCTGAATCGCTAGAAGCTAGAGCGTGCAGGCGGGCAGGTGATGATTGTTTTACATCCGAAAGCGGGCTTCTGCTCCATAAACAAGGCTTAACAACAAAGGCAAAAGTGTCTTAGAAACTTGTCATGGCTCCAACTGTTCGCGTAAGTATTTTCTCTTGTTTAGGGAGAAAAATAATAATACGAGTTCTTGTCATGGCTCCAACTGTTCGCGTAAGTATTTTCTCTTGTTTAGGGAGAAAAATAATAATACGAGTTCTTGCTGTCATTACTGCACGCCTTGCGGTTTGTGTTTATAAAATGGGTCATGTAAGTACCATTGAGATTACAAGGGTCAGCGTGAAGCGTAAATGACTGCTTATGTCTGGCGTTAAAATAAAGAAAAAGTTTGACTAAGCTTAACGTTTAACGTTAGCGTTACATCCGATGTTTTAACAGGGCCCCCAAAAAACTTGATTTCCAGCTTGTCCTTTTGGCAAGCAGCTCTCATATTTTGCTTACCTGAGGCCACTTCTTGCTGGTCTTGATTAATGATTTTGTTAGAGGTTGACTTGCCTGAACCCTTGCTCATCGGGCAAGCAAGCTTTAAAAGTTACTTGCCCGGCAAGAAAATCGTCTTGTACTGGACTACAGGACGGTTTTTTTTAGCTGTGCATTTAGATTTATGTACTAAATAGTCTGTGAGCAAGCTCTCGAGGGCACTGTAGCAGCAGGGCAGGAAAACGAAGGAGAGCCTGCAACTACATCTCTGGGATTTGAATCCCTGCATCCAAAAAGTTGATGCGAAATGCTGATTAGCGGAGATGACATTGGTAATGATGACATTACCCTTGGCACATGTTTTTCAATGTTTGTTTAAATACATGCTCATTTCCACTTTACGCTGATTGGGGGAAATCTGACAAGTCAGTCAATGGGGAGCCACAGGAGAATTAGAGGTGGAATTCAAATTCCAGAGATGTAGTTTGAAGCTGTCCTTCATTTTCCCGCCCAGCCACTAGAGTGCCTCGGAGAGCTTGCTCACAGGCTATACATTAAACTGTACCCAGATACACGCAGTTTCATGTATCTCTGACCTTTAAAGAACTATGAAATATGTAATAAGAAATAAGACCAACAATTACTTGACACCATAAAGAGTTTAAACTGATTGTTTTTCACCCTATCCCTTCTATCTATCTCCTGGTTGGTAAAAGTCAAACAGTTCCCCCAGTATGGGAGAAACAAAATACTACACCATCCTCCTTGAAATAATAGCACCCCTTGGGCTGATGCGTCGTCGCTCATCAGAAAGTTAGGGCGTAGAAAAGGGTGTCATGAATCACCAGTGGGGTGGGAGAGGGGTCTTGAATAGGGTTATAAAAAGGCGACTGAATGTTGTTTAGTATAAAGTAATGGGTTCAAAGGACCAGCAGTACTAAGTCTTGTCCCACTACCCACATGTTATTTCTTGAGCAAAGAATTCATGATCCTCTAGGGTTTTCAGGGCTGTCATTAGGGACTTACTGATACCATCACGATGACAAAGAGAATGTCAAAAAAGCAGTAGGTTGAAAAGGCAAAACAACAACTTTGTACATGTATCACGCTTTTTTTGTACATTTCTTTGCTGTCACTGCACAACTATGACGGGAAAATGCCTAATTTCACGTTTTCTGGGCTACATATTAAAACAAGCGATGGCTAAATTTTCTTTTTCTTTCTGATAGTGAATATAGTAATTAGGCTCAAAAAGAGTTTGCATTTGAACATGCATTCAACAAAGTAAGTAAGTTGAAGCAATCAGTGTAGAGATTGGAAGAACGCAAATTCACTTTTTACGCGACATTTTCATTGCCGTGGCCGTGGCTGTTGTGGTATCTTAAACTCCTTATCACTGGCTGGGGCCAGTGATTTGACCCAGCTACTATTAATGTGACCCCTGACTTTAGAGGGAAAATAGAAGACAAATAGAACCAAACAATATCCTTAGCTGTTTGATTCCCCGCCTACTTGTAGCATTTACCTGGAAACTTAAAATTTTAATGACAGCCCTGGGTTTTGCAAAACTTTTTCCATTGAGTTATTCCTAGTAAATGCCCACCAAGAGAAGGAAACAAGGTGACAAAAGTTGAGGGAAACATGAGAGGGATAAAATGGTTAAAGCTAAGAGGGGCACTGATCATTTTTTCCAAAGCTATCTTGAAGTTTTTTTCTTCTGTCATGCCTAAAGGTGTTAGTAAAAAAATCATGAGGATCAAAAGCCAGCACTATGCTTGACTTGTAAACTACAATTTGGGTTGTTTAACGTTTTTGCCCACTTGACAGATAGTGACCAGAAATTCACGGGACTAGCTTCAATTACAGCATTTTTTGGCAAAATGTGACACCTTGAATGGGCTAAACTGATTGTATAGCTTGACAACAACCTGATAAAAATGATAATTATCTTTCAATCTGTACTTGCCCACAGCCTACACCTACGAACAGCACTTCTGACGAGGGCTTGCCAACAGCTGCTATTGTGATGATTGGTGTTGGAGCCTACCTTGTACTTGTAATGATTTTCCTTGTCATCAGACAGTGTTTAAAGGTTGGTTTTGATGAGATGCTGTTCCTCATACTGTGCGTCACAGACAAAACTACACCTCCTGTTTAACCCTTTAAGCCCTAAGAGTGACCAGCATCAAATTCCTCCATGTAATATCAATGCTTTGTAAATCAGAGTGGTCATGAGAATTAAGGACATGATCACACAAGATGAATTTACTTAATGTTTTTGCAACTTCTCCCACTACGTCTATAGGAAATGATCATGAATAGGGGCAACAAATGAGAATTTCAATTTTGATCCTAGGGTTTAAAGGGTTAAGTCTGTCGGCAAACCAGTACAGAAATCCTTGTTCTGGGCCCCCATCTGTGTACAGGGTTTGAGTGCACACCATGATTGGCCGGTTAAAAAATCCATTGTTGATTTGCACTCAGGTTGAAGGGAAATTAGGAACACACTTCTGGTAATTCTCAAGTTCATTGAGGGTCCAGAATTGGGATCTTAATTGGTGCTGCCTCTCAGACATTGCTCACTGGGGTTAGATAACATCTGCTACTTAGGCTAGCTCATTATAGTCTTGTGTGCTTTTCAAGGGATGGTTGAACCCTCGCCCCTGCTCCACCCTAAGTTCTTAAAATGGTGATGATGATGCAGTCTCTTAATCCCAGATTTTTCAAAAGAACATGCAAGGCTAGGCTCAATTTCTACAATTTTCTTAAGTCTCAGGTACTTCTTCTAAAGTTCTCCTAAGTTTTGTAGAGGAACCCATCCCAAATCCTAATAATGAAATCAACAGCCCAGTGAAATTTTTTACAATAGTACACAAGATAACGACCATCAGTAGTAGGTAGCAAAGGCCTAAATTTGTGTGGTTTTTATTAATAGTACACTATACAATCATGTAAAAATGTTGAATAGAGGGCAAATATCCTGTTGAGAGCAGCAGAATTGCTTGCTGGTGGGTCATTTTGACTGTGCTGAATCACCTTCAACCTTGCTATGGAATTTCCAGACTGGTGAAAACATTCAAACCAAAATCGGTCTGTAGGTTAGACCTGACAAAATGAATAAATGTTTAAAAAAAACAGTAACTATCATAAATTTTATTTGAAAAAAAATTAAGTAGAATTAATGTTTATTGGAAAGAACAAATTACACAAAGCAGAAGTACTACAGAAGACGTTTTAGCCCTTGAATGGTCACACAATAAGATTATTTCATGGGCTTAACAGTATCAGCTGATAAAGGGTTATGTGACTAAACCAGTAATTAATGTTAAAAAAAATCATTTGTTGATAGTCTCAAGGAATAAGCATTTGTCCAGCTTGGGTGTCAGAAATGTGTTGTGGATCATGTTGTGGAGGTGAAGATGACACAGAAAGATGTTGCGTTTGCAGTTGCTTTCTACCAGTTGCAGAAATGTGTGATTGTTCAACACCAAGTAAAAAGTCTTGTATGGATTCTGTGTGTCCCACAAAACAGGTACAGTAGATGAACTAGTGACCATGATCATACATATATAAATTATTATATATCTAGCCGAATTTATCAAAACTGCACCAGGTGGCAACTCTAGGCCACACAGCTTAACTTGACTTAAATAAAGTAAATATTGTAACGAAACTCAGCTCTCACCCATAAACCTTCTAAGGTGACTCTCTTCTTGGTTCATGATTAGCAAAGAAAAATTTAACTGCATCAAAAAGACACTCTCAACCTTCAAAAATTTGGCTACAGGTAGATATATATATATTTTTGTATTAAACCTCTCTTTGGGAGTTTAATTTATTCAGTGTTTTTGGACTCGTCCTCTGGTAGTCTCGGTAATAACAGGCATTCATCTTTATAGTTTGCGGAGAGCACTAGACTGGGTTCCGATTAGAGGCTGCAGCTTAATTTTTATATTCTTGTGAATGGGGAAAAATCATTGCTGGGACATACTGTATTTAAGTATGTCCCATATTAAACTTTAATAATATTATATATACTATCATTATGCTGTTTGGCCTCTCATACCATCGTGGAAGTCCTTTCTAGACATTTACAGATTACTTGTCTCTGCCAACAGAAAGCTTTGCAAAGCACCTTCTCCTTTTTGTCAGTTGTCAAAGAATAATTGAACTCAAAAGTCCAAATTTTACCACTCTGAGCAAGGAATTTAGTAAAGTCTAAGGAACGTTATTTTGTCTGTATGGGCGAATGTTTTTAAACTGTGGGCTAACTAATTAATGTATAATAATATGCTTAAGTCTTTTAGCTCATAACTCAAGCTGACCATATTCCATTTTGTGCCTTTTAAGTGGTGCGATAATACCTTCTGTTGTTGTATGAATGCGGAGCCTGGTGGAGCCATGTGTCAGGACTGCAATGGACCAGAGTGCGCGGTATGTGAAATGTACTTGTACTTTGTACATCATTTGAATATTAACCTGTACTTAATTTTTCCACTAGCTTACAACAGACTCAAGGTGTGCTTGCCAAAAAGTCATTGTGAAGTGAAACTGTGTAAAACTTGTTTGATGGTTACTTAATTATTATAATGAGTGGCATATATGTCAAACCAAAAATAAGAATGCAATCCTTTCCCTGTAGCCACCTGTAACTGGAACTAATGATCATTTTCCTCAGATATTCAGTCAGCAATTAAAGTGCAAGCCAGTGCTCTAAAAAGATTGTAGTGACCTTTCTGCTCTGAGCCTGTGAAATCCAGGATTTGCTGAAACTAAGGTTAATGCGTGTACGCTAAGTCTAAGATCCTAGTCACCCAAGAACAAAAGTAAGATGTCAGGGTCCACTGGGCACTGTTGGAGCACGGCGCTGAAGTTCCTCTTCAGTTTCTAGCTGGTCCTGAAATAATAATTGTGGTTTTACTGTAATGAACCTTTTGTATTATTTGATAACCCAAAATGTCAAGATGATACATATATATGATCACTTAGAGAGGCTACAGTAGTAGTGCTTTGAATGGACTTATTTCTGGTATTTTCCAGGGTAGGTCTTTGCTTATTAGCCTGCATTGCAGACGTAATCTGATCCTGTTTAGGATCATGTGTGGAGCAGCCCCAAGATCTTTGTTTTGGGGCCCCGATGGACTCAACAAAATACTAGAAGTGTGTTTTGAATTTCCCTTCAACCTAACTGGCTAATCAGCAATGGCTTTTTTAACCCTTTAAACCCTAAGATCAAAATTTGAATTCTCATTTGTTGTCCCTATTCACTTCCTACAGAAGTAGTGGTGAGAAGTTGATAAAATATCAAGCAAATTCATCATGTGTGATCATGTCCATAATTCTCATGGCCACTCTGTTTTACAAGGATTGATATTACAAGGAGAAATTTGATGCTTAGGGCTTAAAGGGTTAACAGACCAAATCGGGGCCCAGAGCAAGGATTTTAGTGCTGGCTCCCAGGCAGACTTAACAGAAGTTTAGTTTTACCTCTGGCACAGGCTAGTCTGTTATGGAAGGTTTACATTATGGAGGTTGGACTGTATTATCATCATTTACCTGTAAACTTATTTATTTCATTGGTATTTTTTAGTTGGGTGACTGCAACTGCGCATGCAACTGTGCTGTTCCCGAGTGTGATTCAATCAACTGTATTTGCTTCAAAATTGACCTGTCAGGAGGTCAGGCTGGAACGCGACAGCAACAAGAATCGATACGACTTCAGCAGCAGATACAGCAACTGCAACAGCTGCAAATGCAACAGCAACAATTTCAACTACAGCAACAGCAAATGAGTTACCCATCGGGTTACCCTAGATAACAACAAAAGATAAAAGGCTGATTTGTAGCATTCTATTGTATGAACAGAAGCTATCCATCTGGCCCTGGTTGTTGAAAGGTCGGCTAGAGCTATCCATCGGAGAAATTACTATGCAGCAGGCCCCAGCCAGTTGTTCAAAGGGTAGATAATGCTATCCATTGGATAAATTTTTATCCCGCAGATGATGCAATTTTTCCTTTAATACTTATCTCCTGGATAGCGCTATTCAACATTCGAACTACTGGGGCCAGATAAGTATTAGGGAAACCTATTGCATTATCAACTGGATGTAGATTTCTATGTGAATAGTGTTATCCACTTTTTGGACAACTGGGCCCTGGCCCTAGGTGAACTTTGCCAATCTCTATTCTCTATCCAGTGGATAATGCAATGGTTAATTTCCCTTTACACTTATACACTGGTAGGATAGTGATTTATGCAGTGGATAGGGCTTTCCACAGTTTGAACAGCTGAGGCCAGCTGTTTATTGCTAATTAGCTATTATGTTACTCTTCGGGGGGAGGCACTTCCTTAAAAGGCACCAGAGTCGTGTTTTGTTGGTGTGGCCAAAATTCATCCCCCCCTCCCCCCACAAGACATTTCAATCCTAAAGTGTTATTACCGGTACGTCTAAGGTGATAACAGTATTACATAGTTCTCATCAGTATTCCTTAGAACTAAAACAGCTCGCGTACCTCTCACTATTTTGCCTCCCTCCCCTGACCCTAATCAGTGATACCATTCTACGATAATTGCCCACATCAGTACATTATATTACGACAGAGCTATAACGTTTTAGTTGCCTTGGTTAAGTGACTGCAACTGCAGTTGTGTGATTGAACATTTTGTAGCCAGTGTGAGAAAGAGCATGTTAGTTGGTTTTGTGTAATGCCTTTATGGAAGGATAATAATTATCCTTCCATAAAGGCAAATTTATTTATTAAAATTATTATTAAAACTGTTTCCCTACCTACCACTGGTGGGTTTGTCCAACACCATAAAAAAGAAAAGAAAAATTAATGATGTTGTTTTCATAGCTTTATTCATTTCATTCCAGGTCATGTAGCAGCTCTCCCAACCCTAAAAGCCAATTGGTTCGATACCCCTACTGTGAAACAATGGGAAATAATGTTAAACAATGATGAGTTATTGTTTTCTGCGACCGTTACGAGAAAACACCTTACTTCAAAACTTGTCCTTACAGCAAATAAGATGGCAAGTCTATCATGATTCTATAACTATGTGACCTTACAACTTGTGATCTTGCTCTCTTATTATGGGGGTCTTGAGAATGAGGGGAAGGAGCTGCTAGCATAGCAATATTAGTGATGAGGGCAATGGTATAGAAGGAAGGAGAGCTGCCCCCCTTCTGGAGGGGGGGTGCCCTATGATGGCCTGTACAGGGACGCTCTGCCCAAAAGGCTATGTTTTTCATGCTTCAGATATATCGAAGGGTAGGGAATTCTATCATTTAAGTCTTTAAGTAACGTGCATGGCAGACAGTCTAAATTCCCGATCCGAGTTCTCTATGTAGGTCTCGAATGACAAGCCTTTAATTAAATTTTTTCACAAAGAAGCACCTCGCCTTATGGCTAGATAAGTTTGCTTTAGCAACTGTTAGATGAAAATGATTTATTCTTATTAGAGGTATCTTATTGGAAGGGCCAGGTACCATTTGTCAATTAGAAGGTATATGAAAGGGGTACCTGTTCTGAAAAAATTGATATAAAAAGATGAGGGATTGGACCTTGGGGCGGAGCTTCCACGTATAAATGGACTACGTGTATCTAGGAGAACAAAACAATCTGCACCCCTCTCCATTCAAAGTTGGGATGTTTATTGTTTGTTACAGGAAGCTTAAAAAACACCCAGCAGCACAACATTGCTTGGAAGGGGTGGAGTAGGGAAAAACTGCATTTTTCCCTTTTGAAGTCAGAAAGGCCTTTTAGGGCAAAATGTCACTCATAAAAAATTAATGTAGTTTTCAGTCTTGATAACCAATGTATAAAAAGTGTTCCGATTGAATAATGTTTAAATATCCATAAGGCTACTGGCTTTAGAACATAGTTGTATAACACAATAGCTTTTCATACAGTATTTATATTATGCTATTTAAAGATGTACTAGACTGTATATAATATTGTTTTGTATAATTTTGTAACTCTATATTGATCTTGTAAGTAATTTTACGAAGTCTGCAAGTTGTGCTTTTTGGCTAGCGGCTGTACATTTCAGCAGCTTTTGTTATTATTTAGACAATAAAATAATAATTTTTATTTGATGAAAAAAAAAATCATTAAAGAAGCATTCACTGTAAATGACATCTACCGAAGCTCAAAACGGTTACTTAAACAGATTGTGTGTGTTCTATGATCATTCTTGGGAACAAGTTGCCCTCAATTAAAGGTATGTCTTTTGGAGTCAAGTCAACTTGAGTAGGAAAATTTTGGTGTTTTTGAAAAAAGGTCGTCCAAAGAGGTGATCATACATGGACATTTGATTGTATATGAAAAGCTGTGGAGAGCCTGTGTGTGGTTGTTGCTGTACACAGGCTATCCACAACTCATACAAAACAACAAAGAAGCAAAACTGAAAATATTATTGTGAATACCATTTTATTGTCAGTATCGACCAAGACATGCTTAATACAATAGGAACTGTTATTGTATAGCTTAAGTCAGTAACCTGACTTAGTAAAAGATTAAATAGTAAATTGCCAATATCACTATGACAGGGGACCATGGCATAGCACTGGGATGTGTAATAATAATATACCTTGAACGTTTGGACGACGACAACTATTAAAGACTTTAGTATGGCCTGTTACCAAGAAAATTCCATAAAACCGTACAACTTAGAAGTAATACTGACCTCGAAAGCCATTAAAGTAGCACTCTCAGTACATGAGTAGCAGTGTATGTACAGGCACCCTGTTTCTATTTATTGAATGGAGATTCTGCCTTTTTGTGTGCTTAAATATTGTTGCCTGATAGTCCCAGCTATAGTCTCAACTCCCTTTTTCCCAAACGTCAAACATCGCCCAGGAAAGGAGTACATGTGGTCTGTTCACAGTCCCCGGCTATTTTTTTTGGTAAGATCATTGAGAACAAGCACTGGAGGCAGCCATCTTGACCGAGTTAGCTTTGATATCCCATCTGCTTAGGGGAGGGGACACTTCCCTTCCCCCACTGCTAAAAACCCTGATGCCCACCCCGTTAGTACACTTGAAACCAGTTACAAAATGGCTGCTACTGACGGCACAAGCTAGATCTCAATGATTTCACAGAACACTCTAGAGTACATGAGATTTACCCATTACAATATCTACTATATTATAACAAGCATATATCACCTGCCACAAAGATACGAATGTTGGGCGTATGTCTGTAGAACACTAAAACATTTAATTTGGTTATCTCGTGTGACTCTTGAAAAAAGAGTTAACTACTTATAACATTCAGCGTAAGTGCACAATTTGTAAAAAAAAGTCACAAAATGGGAGCCACTCATCATGATATCGGAAAAGGCCAAAGTGCTGCTAAATAAAAGAGATTTATTTAGTCTTCCCCAAATCGGTGACAAAACCTTGTTGACTCAACCAAAAAGGGGAAACAGACCAATGAGTAATGTAAGCAATAAAATACAGTAAAATGCTCACTTCCCCATGAACATAATTAACAACCACCAAAAAAAATGTTTCCTTTCACAAACAATAAGCGTTGTGCTTAGAGTATTATTCTAAGCATAAGGCTACAAATATTTGGCTTTTTTGTCTAACACTTGCTTTCAGCAATAAAAGACTTTTTTTAGAAATTAAATGGCTGAATTTGTAGTTATACCACCACTGAAAATACAGTACAAAACAATGCCGCATTATTCGCATTATTCTATGTCCTTTTCCAATAGAAGTTTACTTTTATGATAAATGGTATGTGAATGTCATTCATTCTTACTCAGTGCATTTATAGTGGATTGCAGGTGAAGAAAGTTGTTTCCATTTTTGCAACCGCTAGAAATTTTGCCTTCCTAAAAGTCCATGGGACACCGTTGTGTAAAATCTTATTAAGTGAGCCAAATTGCCAATAAAGAGTTCAACTGGTTTGAATCTTTACTTTATGCAACATGCCCCTCCAACTCCATGTTATCAACATTGTATCTGACAAATTGTGTACAAACATTTAATTTTTGAGACGGATCACCTACAAAAACTCATTCTCACTTTCTGACCCACTGTAGATCGGGCTTTCAGTAAATGCATATGCAGGAATGAAAAATGAAATGAATGACTGACAATCATGCCAGCTTCTAAAGCAAATTTTGAGCCTCTAACTTGTACATGTATGCGGCCTTAATTTTAGCCAAACACAATTATAAGGGCTCGACTAAGTTATTCTAACCAGCCACAACTGTATTTTCTTCACAAATTGGAAATTATGATCTACCGTATATACTTTGCTCTAAAATACTTGCATACTGGATTTTATCATAGGAAAGATACAAAGAATTTGACTGAGACAAGGCTTCACAATGCATGGTACCCAGAATTCTTTACATGTACATAAACAGCTTGCTGAGATTACATTCTAAAATAAAATAAGAGACAGAAGCTCAACAAATTCTTCATTTTGCACCAGGTATTTTTCCAAGAACCTGAAAAAAAAAATTTCACAAAAGGTCAGTTATTTAAATGAAGTCCAACTTACGCCATGGTTTAGCAAATCTTTGGACCTCACTGGCCTGGATCTTGCGAAGAAAGTTTATGTCTCCAAGTGCCTTACGCCACTGCTTTATACTTTCATATTTCACGATAAATAATGTTAAGATAAAAGCATTGAGCGAACTGAAAATGGCTTTCAACGCAGTTTTGTTAAACACTGGCTAAACGCCCTTTAAGTGACTGGTGCAAAAATTTTATAGGACATGTCAAGAGCAGTGCTAGTCAGGTTGTCACACAACATCTTGTTTACTGGCAATAATAACTGTAACATGACACAGCACAAAAAGGAATGTCCTATAGAAAATATGATATTCACAAAAACAGTATAGATGTAAATCATGCTCAAGCCATGATATTACTAATCATAAGTCTCACAACAATGTTTAAAAATGTCACACAAAACTTGTGGTTTGTCACTGACACCACACTAGTGATACCTACCCCACTCAAGTCAACTCCTGTGAGGGCTTGAACTGCAGGAGGAAGTTGACTCACAAGCTTGGACACTTCATTAGTAACGCCTGAAGAAGAGTCACCAACAATGACGATTTGGTCAGTCTTGGCGAGTGGAGCGGCTACTTCTGCAGCAACCTATGCAACAAAAAGCAAGAAATTCTGAGTTGTTATGGTGCCAACCAAAATGTTACTAAACAGCCATAACAACTGCACAATAATCAAGTAACAGGGTTGTCACTAAGATTTCAAGTTGCCGGGTAAATACAAAAAGTAGGCGGGGAATCAAATGGCTAGGGATTTCTTTTGGTTCTATTTTTCTTCTATTTTCCAATAAAAGTAGCCGGGGACCACTCTCTTAGTAGCCGGGGAAAATCCCTGGCCCCCGGCTCTTAATGACAACCCTGAAGTAATGTCCAGAAATGCATGCTAACGAGATACACACCCATTATGATAGAGATAACAAAGTGTCCCCTAGCTCTAAATTATCCTCACCTAATACAAGTAAATCTGTTGCAAATAATATTAATATTTTATTGTGTCTAATTTTTATTGTGTCTAACAAAATTTGAAGGGAAAATAGATATGATAATTAGTCACTTCTCTATAAGATGCAGTGTTCTCACCAGGATTTTCTTGGGCAGGGCCCCCTCTTCAAATGGAGTAAGAAATCAAAAACATTAAATGCTGCAAATTGTCTGTTAAAACACTGATCCAATATAACAAATAGCTCGGAGGAGGAGTACCTCAGTTACTGGGAAAATAAAGCAACAAAATTAAAGGATTTGAAAATATTTCATGACCATTAAAAATTAGTTTCACTTCTCTATAAGATGAGAATTTACTAGGAACAATACCGCGGCCTGGTGGAACACTGGACGGATCCAATACAGGGACGGATCCATGATTTTTTTTAGGAGGGGGTGCACTCGTCTCTTGCTCTACTCTAACACCAATAAACTACATAGTTTTTTTTTTTTTTGCAGAATACCAGTTGTATTAGAAAACCGCAGGTCATCTCGGGGGGGGGGGGGGTGGTGTGCACCCCCTGCACCCTCCCCCTAGATCTGCCCCTGCAATAGTATGAGTAAAAAACAGAAGACTAACTCTAGGAGTTCGTTTCAGGGAGGTGTCTGATGATGTCAATCTCTTTACAAGAGAATTGACTTTAGGTTACTTAAATAACTCTGCTGTATTTAGCCTGTGTACAGACCCCCCTCCCCTAAAAAAAATTGGTGAGAGGGGAGGGGGGGCATCTGTACACAGGCTATGCTGTATTTTAATAAAAAAAGTCACTCTTTTACATTCAACTGATAGAAAATAAGATTGTACCTTTGGCAAGGCCTCCAAGACCAAAGCAGTCATAGCAGCATCTCCATACATCTTGTAAGCTGCAGCCTTCTGTCTCATGCGTTCAGCTTCAGCTTTGCCAATAGCTTCAATGGCAGTGGCTTCCGAGGAACCTGTTAACTGTTGAAGAAAATTGTGTATTAATATCATGTCGGGACTGTCACTAAGATTTCAAGTTGTTGAGTATATGAAGTGAGAAGGCAGGGAATTCAACAGTTAGGAAATTCTTCTGGTTCTTATTTTGTTTTGTTTTCTATGAAAGTTGCCAGAGGCCATGGTTATAGTTGCCAGGGTAAATCCCTAGCCCCCTGGCCTTAAGTGACAGCCCTAAATGTTCTAAAACTTAAACAACATCACCACATGCTAACCATTAAAGAGAGAACACAACCTTTGACAGAAGTCAAAGCTAATAATAAGTGTAGTTATAAAAAAAAATGGACTGCAGAACACGGAGATGGTGTTTTTTTTTCGCAACACTCCCCCCCTCCCCCCCTCCCCGCCATTTCTCATGCACTGTATCACTGTTACCCAAGGAAGAGTCTCATGGAAGAAAACCCTTAGTGACTGTTCATATAACATCAAATTCTCCTTCTGTTTTAAATGCAAAAACAATAATAGTTTGGAAGGAGAATCTACATGTAGCAGTTTATCAGCACTAGGAGCTTTATTTCAGCCTACCCTTTCAATACAAGAGAGAATTTTCATGCTCTGCTTTTATCAATGACTCCTTGTAAAAAAACTACTGTATGTAATTTTTCCTCTTTAACCCATTAATGATCAGTAAATTTCAGGAATTTCATGGTAGTTTACCATATCATGGAAAAAAATGTTTTTGTACCTTGATCTTCTCTGCTTCAGCCTGGGCTTTGTACATAGTCTGTGTCCTAAAGATAAACAACAATCAGCTTAGTTTGAAACGCTTTTCAATATTATGAAGCACAATAATTATTTTCTTTTCATAAAACATTCCTGCCCACCAGGTAAAATTGCAGCCACATTGTTCTAACATTATTTGACCATTGAGTAAGAGAAAAAAAGGAGTCAACCAGAATATTCTAAGTCACTAAAACTATTTGCTTGAAGAAATTTAATTCACTGCTGGCTACGCGTCACATCCAGGTACTATTTCACATAAGACCTCAGAGATAATAAAAGTCAAGTGTTTAACCTTGCAGTCTTACATCCCTAAAGATGTTGGATTTTTCTGCTATGTATACTTCTACTATGCATGCTGCCTTGCTGATGCTCACCAGAAATTACACAGAAACTTTGGGGACATTAGAACTTGAGTTAGCTGCAACTTCATGCCATATATATATGGCACTACAACTCATGCTTCTCATTGCCGAGTACATGCAATTGGTAGGTAAAGAATTGGACAGCCCGGAAGTTATTTTGAGTCTATTTTTCTTTAACTTGTTTCCTATGAAAGTATCCAGGAATCCCACTAGCCTTGAGAGACAGCTCAGATACCTAAACCATACCATACTGTACCTATACTGTACCTCTACCTTACCTATACCATAGCATACCTTTTTCCCTGTGCAATTGTTTCAACCCTGTAGCTCTCAGCCTCTGCAGGTCTCCTAACAGTGGCAAACAGTTCTTTGTCTTTCCTGGACACTTCTTTCTCTTCAACTTCTATTTCCTTCTTTCTCTCCACAACATCAATCTGGATTTCTTCAGCTCGGATCTTCTGTTTCTCCTTTGCAGCCTGTAGACAAAGAATAAATAAATTGAAAACATCACAAAAAAATAGTTTTTGTTTACACTTCTTTTTATCAGCTCTAAGGCAATAATCAAGACATGTAATGAGGATGTAAAACATTCGGACCATTATATGTTTCTGAGAAACTGCCCCCCTACCCCTCCCCTGAGTCAACATTTTGCCCTAAGTGAGAAGTAAGTGTTAATGTTGGCTTGAGGGAGGGGTAGGTGGGCAGTTTCCCAGAAACGTATAATGATCCAAACATTTGAGGGCAAAATGCAAGGTTGTAACCATTATAGTAAAACCTCTTCTCATGAGCTGAATTAACAAATGAGAGACTGAAATGAGGCCACAAGTGACTTCTGAAACAATGCTAGCTTCTTCTTGCCAATTTGCCTTGAATCAGAGGGAGAATTTGATAATAGATCAGAAATCAATAACAGAGCCTTAGCAACGATTATGGTGATAGCAATGAGAATGACAATTTAAATGCAATAGCTTTGGGTAACACAGCATTATTATCACATGTACGATTATATGTACATTTCTTTGCTGTTGTTTGTTGACGTTTACTACATGAAACTTCCTAATTTCAAGTTTCATGGAGAACGTGAGCACGAGAAAATGATAATTGTTTTCTAACGTAATTTTTCCTTTTCTAAACTTGGATATATTCCTTTAAAATTCAACGCCAGAAAAATTGGCCTGTATCAATTTAAAAATTGAACAAGGTGACGTGTTCACTGCCATTGCCATCATAGAAGCTAAAGCACCCTACTGAGATCTTATTCCATGCAATCCTTCTTTGTTTGACACAAATCAAGGTTTTACAATGTACCTGTAATTCATAAGACAATTCTGCTTCTGCTTTCCTGGCATTAACTTCTTGGTCAAACGCAGCTTTCTGCATCTGGAATTCTCTTGATGAATCAGCAATGTTTGTCTGTGCTTGGTATGCAACATCCATCTTTTCTTTCTCGCACTCTGCCTCCTGGTAAATGCACAGAGAAGAACAATCAAGTCAATAATTTGCCTTTTGTGATAAAGTGACAGAAAAGGATTGCTTCATTTTTCTCCGTTTTTTAATAACTGTTAAAAGAATTTTATTATTTGATAACAATAATAATTACTATTGTGATGAAAATAATTCAGCAAATAGGAGTTGTACTGTAAAAGCTAAAGCTAAAGGGTGCAATGTGAACCAACGGGGGGATCAATTTAGGTTTCTGGGAAACTGCCCACCTACCCCTCCCCTAAGCCATCATTTTGTCCTAAGGAGAAGTAAGTGTTAATGTTAGCTTAGGGGTGGGGTAGGTGGGCAGTTTCCCAGACACCTAAATTGATCCCAATGGGGCTCACAAAGCAGGGGCTTATCTGGTTGAAAGAGAGACAAAGAGGATAGATCATGATCATGATCCAGATCATCTCAAAGGAATGCACCTTAAGACATTACAGTTGACTCTCTCTTAATGGACACCTCTATAAGACGGACGCCTCTGTAAAACGGACATTTAAGAGTTGGTCCCTGCCTTTCTTTACTCCCTTTATTTCGCTCTCTATAAGACGGACATCTCTCTAAGATGGACGTCTTAGTGCCGGTCCCAAAGGTGTCCGTCTTAGAGAGAGTTGACTGTACGTATAATGAGACTTGCTTTTACTAGTGACATACCCTAATTCCAGCATCTCGGTTGGATTCTGCCACGCCGATATCAGCATCTCTCTTCACTTTAGCTGTTTGAGTTTTACCAAGCGAGTCCAGGTAACTGACATGGTCAATGATGTCCTTTATTGTGAAACTGAGGATTTCAATTCCCATTCTACCAACATCTGGGGATGCGACTTCACGGACCAGTGCAGCAAATGCTTCACGATCTTTGAATACAGAATAAAGTAAGTGATAACCATTGCCTTTTATCAAGCAGACAGTCTACCCTTAACGTAAAATCAAAAGAAACCTTACAGTGTGACTATTACAATCGGGCTCACCTAGACAAGGCTGACTGGTCGGATTACAGAAAAAATAACAATACTGTACATTCCGAGAAAGTTCATTGTCAGTCATTATTACAAGGAGACAAAATAAACAACATTGATCGAAATCAACCAATTACAACTTACAGACATGACCTTTTGAACCCACTGAAAAAAAGCCCCTGTTTCCTGAGAGGTCTGTTAGGGTATTGACAGAGGCGAAAAACGTGAACATTAGTTATAGACATTGTGATGTTAATGAAAGCGCGGCAATTGTAGTGAAGAAATTGCTGAAGATGACAAGATAACAACTTGTGTCTAACAAATATGTCTCTGGGTGTTAAATATAAAGTTTCAAGAAAAACACTGTCTGGTGAGACAATTGCTTTCTTAAAAACGGTTGATATCAATATGTAAATTTTGTGCTCTGAGTGACTTATTGCTTTTAAACAAGCTGTTGACTGGCCCTCAACCAACTTTCTTGGAATGTATTGGTATGTTTCGGTAATCTGATTGGTCAACTTTGTCTAAGTGTCCCTGGTTATAGTAGTTGCACTGCAAGTATCCCAACATAATTGCAGGTGACCAGGAGCCCCCAATCCTAATATTCACAATGCTAACACATATGTACACTGTATGGCAGGTATGTGGTCAACATTCATTAAAAAATGAATATTGACAACATATGTGCCATGCATGCATATTAGCAATGTTGAGGTTAGTATTGCAGGCTCCTCTGATTGCCTGCAATAATAATATTTATTATTATTTTGGGACACTTCAGGTTTCTTATGATTTTGGAATTCCAGTAAGAATGAATGGGATGCAAAAAATGCAATATGATCCATCCTGTTGGAACCTTCTATCACTTGTCATCTGATCATGCTGTTTTGACCTTCTAACGTGTGAAACTTATGCACCTTCAATCATTCTTGCCCCCACTTCCTAACCTCTGGATATTACTAGTTACAAAAGTAATAAGTTTATGTGATCTGGAAACAAAAAAAGAATCAAAGAAAAGGAAAAGAACCAACTTAAATTTACACGCTCCTTTGATTCATTATACAATGCTTGTTTTCATGATTATGGGTTTAACTTCCCCTTGATTTGTACAACCACTGTCCACTTTCTCATGTCCAATGTCTACCATCTGCTGTCTGATGGTGGTAAAGCATCATCTCTAAACCTTGAATACCAATGCCTGTTTATCACCCACCTTTATAAATCTCCTCAACAGACAACGTTCCTAGGATAGCCCTCAGATGGCCTTCGAGAGTTTGAAGAATGATATTCTCAATTTGGCCCGTTGTCCTTCCCAAGAACTGTTCACAAGCAGTTTTCAGCAGCTCAGTTTCTGTCATGACCTTTACTTGTGCAACTCCTGTTACTGTGACGGCAACACCTTGGGCTGTTTCTACACTTTCACATTTGGGATTTAATGTCATCACTTCCAGGGTCAGTCTGTTGATGCAAATTTTTAAAAAATAAGTCACAACAATGATGATTGATGATTGTTTCCTTGCACAAGAAACTGTAGCTCCCCTTTGAATGAATTTGATACCATTGGCATATGGCTGAGGTTAAACCTGTTATGCACAAGCATCCCATCAAGGGGGGAGTAACAATATTCAGGGCTTCTGATATTTCACGCAGTCGCGGAGCCGGAGTTAGCCCTGAAAATTTTGTTGAAATCAGACGAATCTGTCTCTGAGAATCCTGTGAAATTTGACTTTTCTTTCCGAGACCTATCAGAAGCCCTGAACATACTACAACATGCTTCATGCTACAAAAAATGGGAGAAGCCCTGGCCAATTGGCCCTCATGCCTTAAGTGTTTGTCTTATAGATGTGTCCACCTCAAAAAGAGACGGGGCAAGGGACTAGAGAACAGCAGGGCTGGACCTGCTGTAGGTGTCTGTTTCAAAAAGGGGTCTATCCAGGGCTCAAAATTGCGACTGATGTGGTCGCCAATGTGACTAACATTTTCTCCTTGGCAACTAAAAATTCTGGTTTAGTCGCCACTTTGGTGACCAGATTACTCTACAATTTAGACTTAAATTTAAAGAGTAAAATTAAAACAAACATTTCATCTTATCTTGCTTTGCTTTCGCCCCGAAAAATGTGTCAGATTGCATAAACAAAGCCAGTTTACCTCCAAATTTATACCAACTTCTGTCCAGAATATTTTCAAACAATCAAATCTGATGGATCACACCATTCTTTGAGATGGTCATTTACAATATACAAACTACAAAAAAATTGTAGCAACTGAAAATTGATCATGTATCTTTTGGGGGGTGTTGAATGATGTATCGACCAATATCTCGGTCGACTGTCAATCCACATATCGGTCACTATGTCAGTCAAGACTCTGTCGACCCTTGACAGACAGTCAATTGAGAATCCGTCGAGTATCGGTCGAGAGCCGGTTGAGTCTCTACCAATATGTTGGCAACACTCGCCGCTACATTCTAGTGGCTGATAGTCGGCCCATGGTCGGCCGATACTTCGCAAATGGATCACCAATATATCACCGACACTTGGCCAACATAACAGCCAATACCTCCATTGTCATGTCGCTCCATACATCAGTCGAGTGGCGATCTAGTATGCCGACTGTCAGTCGAGAGCCGGCCACATCTTGACTAATAAATGGCCGGTACTTGACCACTACAGTTTATCGGTCGATAGTTGGCCATCGCTTTGCCGATGGATCACCGAAAGATCACCGATGGATGATTTGTTGGGCGATACTCGACCGGCAGCAAAACATCACTCGGCCAATATATTGACCAACTCTAGGCAATTCCGATTGCCGACCGATACACCACTGATACCTTACCGATACTCGAATGACTATTCATCAATACATTGCCAACACACCACTGATGCTATCTCAACCGACTGTGGTCGATCTGTCAACCGATACTAGATCGACAGGACAACACCATTTGGCTGATAAATTGACTGACTCTCGACAGACACACAGTCAATACTCGGCCGATACTTGGTCGACTCTCGATCGACATAGCGACCGATATGTCGATCGACAGTCGACCGAGATATCAGTCGATACATCGATCAATACCCCACAAAAGAGACACCATCCCTAAAAATTTGCATCTGGTAACAATATTTTTCACCAATTGGTCCCCAAAAGGTGACCTGAGGACTTTTTTAATTTCAAGCCCTGCCACCCTATAGGGATGTCCATTAACCCCCTTAACAAACCAATAATCTACATACAAATTTTCAAGACTGATCTCCATACAGCTGTACATCTCCTTAATAATTAGTGCAGGGAATTATTGATAAAAGATCAAAGCACTTTCTCTTTCATAATCATTTTGTTGATTCGTTTTTCTCTTACAGGTGTTTTGATGTTATTAGGAGAAAATCGATTTGGTCACTCTTTGGATTTTAGGGAGTTAAAAAAGAGCTGACTGTATATTGGACTAAGTGCAATATCAGAGATTTACAACAACATTAAAAAATATTTTAATCATCTAGCACAATATAAGTCTCCAATCGGACATTGATCTACTTCGAATAATATTTCTAAGTCCAAGGAAGCACTACACAAGATGTGCCTCTTGTCACACAGTGCGAAATTTCCGCCAAAAAAAGTCAGAAAATGTAACGTCAGCAAAACCTCGAGACAAAGAATCTTGCACCGAAGTTTTGTATACAAACAGACGGGAATGCCAACTACGTAACTGTTTGCCTCCTCTTAAGTAGGTTGGCTGAATTGAATTTTTTATCAAGTTCACCAAACTGGGTTAAAAGGTGTTCTAAAGTAGCGAATTTTACCACGCAAAACGAATCATGCGTAAGTCATTTGCAAAGGCACCTGCTTGAGTGGTAGGAACTTCACATCGACCAAAAGTGATGATCGTAGAACGATTTGGTGAATTAAAGTGCTTAACGTGTATAGCAGTAAATGTACTCACTTTTGCACATCTGTAACGAAAGCCCATGCCCAAACCCAACCTCCAATTACAGTCTTTTTCGCATCGCTTCCACAGCAGCCACCTAAAACACGAAATTTATGGCGAAACGATTAGAATGCGGAACATGTTCGCAATCTCTTGGCGCATGGAATTATACACTGCTCTTGTTGGTTGTAGCTGGTCAATAATGCTTAAATGCAGCCATTAAAGGTTCAATATTTTAGATTTAGGCCCAGAAATGTAAAATACCACTAAAATTTCGCTAAAAAGGATGAAAACAGAAAACATGTAAGCTTACATTGAAATCGACAACACATAGGATCCAATGTTTGGGATTCATTGTCACGCATTTCATTCATGACGAAGGGAAATCGCACAAGAAATTATCTTACCTGAGCGAACTAAAGCTTCATTCGGTCCAACTGTATGACAATTACCCATGACTGCGTTAAACTTCGTAGAGTTATCGTGCACGGAACAAAGATTTTCTTCGACACAGAGGGACACACAGAGGAGAAAGCGAACGCCCCTTGGTTCTCGGCCCCAGTTCTTCACAAACAACTAAAACAGATGTCGCTTGGTCACGTGTCAAGCTTTCCTGACCACCTTCCATTTTGCTTTTCTTTTCCCGTTCATCCTTTTCTCAGTTTTCGGCGGTTTGATCCATCCATAGGAATGTATACCTGCCAACTTTTTCTGAGATATAAGCGTGAGATTTTTATCCTGGGAGTGCTGGGATTTTTGAAAACGACACGATCATTTCCGAAGATTCCCGAAGAAGTCCGAAGTCTTCCGAAGACGTCCGAAGTCTGCCGAAGGCGAAGTTATCGAGAAAACGCTTATCCACAAAATCAGAGATCGCGAGGAAGGTATTGTCATTTATTCATTTTACACATGGTTTTCGTTCCTTACATGGGTCTGAGTTAACATATTTTTGGAAATTGTGTCCAGCAAGACGGCAACAACTCACATTTTTCAATCAGGCGTGAGAAATTGGTCCGCAGGCGTGAGCGGGCGTGAGATCGAAGTTTTCAACCCGCAGGCGTGAGAGTTGGCAGGTATAGGAATGATGGCAAAAGAATAACGAAGTTTTTTGTAGGACTAATGAAAACTTCACACCATTATTTCCTCCATAGTATAAGGACGATTTTTTTTATAAAATTGTGAAAGATCAAAGTTCCCTGCAAGCAAATTTCTGCGCCGATCGTGATGACCAGTCCAACCAGGAATCGGCTCCTGGTCCAACAAAGAAAAGTGGTTAAGCTTCAAACATCGTTTTATAGTCCAAAACTTTTACGGTTGGACAGGGCTGCGTCCATCTAGTGCTAAGCGCCTTGGGGCTTTATACGATAATCTCTACTTCCTCATCTCCCCGCCACCCCTCAAGTCACGTGTTTCTTTCTCATCTTTCACCCCTCTGGGTCTCCTCCTTCCCCCTGAGACAGGGTAGATTTGATACTCCTCCCCAGTTAACATACTTCATCTGCTCCTGATAGTTGGCTGTAAAGATTTTACACCCGTTTTCTCCTGTCCCAGAGAAAAGAGCTCGCACAGCTGGCTCACGATAACCAAAACATAGGGGGGCTTGCGTGCCTCAGGCCCGAACGGTTGCGAAGGAGCCTAACCAAAACACGGCCCAACAGGATACCAGTTCGATACTAGTGCTTCCCCATGGAGAGGGCCTACCTACCATCCCCGTCTACTGTGGATTACTAGTGCTTTTCGCGCCAAACAAAGCGTCATCGCAGATGGCGCGTTACGTAATACCACGTGACTTTGCGCGGCATCACACAGTTTCTGACATGGCGGCCATGAGGAGTTTTATTTTGTAAATTCACATAATTTGACAGCGTTTAGCGTCCCAGATCGTTAAAATCCTTTCACGCCACACCGTAAAATTAAGCTTCATTTCGTGACAAACGAAAGGCTTGTTTTGCTTCGCATAAAATTGTAGAAATCGTCCAGTTTTGAGCTCCTAAGGTCTGGTCGTCGATCGCAGAACAAGCCCAACCGGTTCGTATTTCATCACGAAACATAGTCGAATAACGAGCTACATTCAAGGTTACTGTGAAACCGAACTGTCGAGTTGGTGAGCTGATCTTTTAAATCTTTCTCGGAAAGGTGTAAATATGGGAGACTGCAGTGATTTGGACCGGTAAGCTAGAGTTAGAATTAGACATTTTGTTTACATGTTCGCTAGACCGAAAAACCTTGTTGCAGTGAGGACTGTCTTTGTTTTGTTTGCCTGTTTGATCGGATCGTTATATGGATAGCTGTTTCATTCCACTCAAAATAAACTGTTTTTCGTCAGGCAAATCGAAAAGCTGAGACGCTGTGAGCTTATAACGGAAAAGGAAGTCAAGCAGTTATGTGCAAAAGCGAGGTAAGTTCCGACACACTAGCAATAAAGCTTCTCTTACGATAATTATGGGGAAACAAAAGCTTAAGTTAAAATACGCTTTGCGATTGATGGTTAGTACTGGAAGAGTAAGTCAATGCTTTACCGCAAAATGTTAAACTTTGTAACTAAATTACCGTGTAATTAGGCACACTTTTATGTGGTCTTTCTCATTTCCGGCGTTCAGAGAAGTGAAACTAATATCCGTATAAGTGCATCTTTAAAGTGGGAACAATAATTGGAGTCATGAAACTCTGATTCTTGACTTTAAGTGTGGTAGTTATTGTAAGTGCACATAATAGGAAAGACAATGATCTGCAAGGAAAAGGTGTTCAAAAAACACTCAGACCTCTATAGACAAGTGGCCGTCCTTGGTAAAGGAGCAACTGGCATCTTGATACCAGACGTAGTTAATTGAGAAGAGTCGACAAAAAATCATCATTGATTTCTATCAGAAAATTATCGACATTAATCAAAGTGACAACTTTTTTCTTAATCAATTTCTATCAATCAATATTGGAAATCGACATTCATCGATGATTGATATCAATTACTCTTGATTAATATCAATTATCAGTTTATCAATTAATTACGACTGGCATGGTGGAGGTTGGCCACTTAGAATGTAATAGGTTACCTAAAAGATTCAGGCATTTTCCAGTATTAATCTCTTAAAGTCTGGGCAAGCATTTGAGTAGTGAGATTGTAATCCTGAGGCCTAGAGTTTGCTCCCCATCCTAGCCGCTGACTCGATTTGCTCTCGGTAGTCCCAAGTTGAACTGCTTGCTCAGACTAGTAAAAACAGTAGGCTTGATTTCCACCGCTCCCTCAGGTTCTGTCTTTTTCCTGCCCAAAGAAGAGACATCTGGACTTGAGAATGGCCGATCATGTCTGTGATGTAAATTCAAATTTTAATCTATAGTTTCATTATGAAACGTCTGAAATGGGAAATGTCGTGAGACACCAAACAGATGTTGTTGTTTTTGACTCTTTGTCACTTTGGTCTTTACAAATAAACTCAGCAGCAATGCGTACTGATTTAAGGTACTTCCATCGATCTTGGGTTAGCGAAGTTGGGGGTGAAAATGTAACAGAATCTGACCTAAAAGTCATCTTTTTCACATTTGCTATCAACAACCATTGGTGCAGAGTGGAATAATTACATATCATTGACAATCCAGATGCAGTTGGTTGAACTACAGTAGCATCCTCACCATTTATCAGCTTCTCTTACACTTTTTGTTGTATTTCAAATTTTTAAGCTTAAAAAATGCTCCAAAACAGAGCAGGTAATGATCTGATTGGTAGAAAACAACAATAACAATTGTACAATAACAATTGCTGGTTGGGTGCCAGACTTTGAAGTGCAAGCCCTAGGTTTGATAGACGATCGTTATGGCCCCATTGATAATGTATTGCAATAATGTTCTGCCCTTGACCCACTAAATGCATTCTTGTTCTTCCATCACAGGGAAATCCTTGTTGAAGAATCCAATGTTCAGAAAGTTGATTCACCTGTTACTGTAAGTGTCTGTTTATGAAACTGCAGAGTGTAAAAAAAGCAGTGTCCAGTTGCTCCAGACATGTGCCTTAACACTTCAGACAAGAGAAAAACCAAGGGCACTTTTCATTTGTCAGAACTGGCCGGCCAGGCCGTGGCCAGACCAGTGAGTTTGAAAATGAAATACGCTTTTTCCAAGAGTTTTTGCTGAAAAACTAGTTCCCTCATGCATACTATTATTTTATGATTTGACTGATCTGGGTGAAAAGTTTTGATTGAAAGTGAAATTATTGTGACGGGAATGGTCTGGCTGATCTGTTGGACAAATGGAAAGCACCCTGAGTTTACTATTCCATGTGTGAAATGTTTGTTATTGAGTTTATTTTAAACTGATGAGCATGTATTACCATACCCAAGAACAGAGGAAAATGAAATTTAGACCAAGGATAAAACTGAAACACCACGTAAACATTTGAAATGGCAATTTTAAAATTCTTTTGTCCTTGAGTTTACTTCTGATCTTTCCAAAAATTTTGCAATAATGTTAAAGTGAGAATGGCAAATTGAAATTGTATTTTTCACTGGGACCTATGTTACCATCTCTTTAAAATGTCTTGTAAAGTGTGAATTGTGCCAAGTATGGGACATGAGGGCTTGATATCTTTGTCTTTCTCTTGACAGGTATGTGGGGATATCCATGGACAGTTTTATGATTTAAAAGAACTTTTTAAGGTAAGGAAAACGGGAGAGAAATAAAGGAATCCAATACACCATTTGCACTAAGAGGTCATGTGACATCGTTTTCATGAAAATGAAAGTTATATGATTTTGCCTTCGAAAAACGATGTGTGGGTCATATCTTAAACAAAAGAATAGTGATGTAGTTTTTCAAACCCGCACCATTTTCTTAAATTGAGTGAGTTCATAGCTGTTCATGTGACCAAATTGTGATTTTTAAAATTACGGATTGCCTCTTTCTGAACACAGATTTTGCACTTAAACTTCAAGGAAAATAATGAAAAGATGATGTGGTATAGTTTATAGCACATCTGAGCATAACTATCAAACGTTTAACAAGATATAAGCAAAAAGTAGTTTGGCGGCCATGTTGGAGGGCATACTCGGCGAATACAAATCACACTACTTTGTTCAAAAATCAAAGTGCCATAAAATATCTCACTCAAATGCGTTTCCTCTCAAATTTCGGGTGCAAGATAATTTTTATGTGCTCTGTCAGTTTTTGGCATCAGTAAGATTCCAACTCATTGTTTAAAGGACGCATTGGTCACGTGCCCTCTTAGTGCAAGTGGCCTATAATATGGTAAATGGAAAGTGCATTGTTAACCTGAACACAAATATAAGAAAAAAACTCTGGTTTTAACAGAAGCAGAAAATATGAAGACTTGAGTTAGTTGCCATAATCATGTGAGTGTCAAAATGTTTCTATTGCCATGTTCAAGTCCAACACAGTAGTGTAAGAAGCTAGAGGTGGCAGGAAAAAAATTGGGTAGTTAGCCAGGACATCTTATCCTGGATGACTGCAAACGACTTAAAGTGTAACTCATCAAATAAAAAACAGAAGTTAAGCAGCTTTCATCTTGTTATCTGCAGCATCAATCTATAGCTATGGTGAATGTCGATAGTTCTGAGATGAAGACAAGCGCGAGTTCCCGTCATCTTCAATGTAGCGGTCATGCTTAACTAGTGCTTTGCAATGTCTACTCATGTGAGCAGTCTCTTCAAGTCTGAATCCTTTACCCTCAGGCATATTGAAACAATTTGTCAGTTTCTGGATCAACCTCCTAACTGGACCTTTGTAAACAGTCTCTTGTATGGTCTCCCTGATAAAGAAATCTCACAACCTCAGCATATTCAAAACTTAGCTACTTGACTGTTTACAAAGACTAGGAAAGTTAACTTCATTAGCTGCCCACACATAAACATATAATCTTAACACCCATGCACATGATTGATCTACTTAATCTTCATCAACTGCTTTTTTTAAATCTGTTTTAACGCCATTTATTGTGAAATACACTGTACAGATGAAGCTCCCTTAAGCATGTACACGACTGGAACTGGAGCCATCCACTTACAAGAGAGCTTCAACTGTATTGATTAAAATTTCTCGTACAACTGGGAGCCATGCCAAGCCAACCATACAGCCTGACCTTTAATATCAAGACCACAAATCACTAGTATTACAGTACAACAGAGCTAATAAACGGCTGACAAGTAACTGAGACTAGATACATTACCTACCACAACTACATCACTACTTTAATTCCTAAAACAACTCAAAAACAGATGAAAAGCAGGTGGACAGGCGATGGCTGATGACAACAAAAACAACTGAACTCTAAAACACCATGTGACCTGTAGATCCCCCACTCACTTGAACCTAGACTCCCAGCCGTGTGTGAGAAAAACGTTTTTTCACTTCTTTCCTTCCTCACCTAGCAGAAAACCACACTTTTATTTAATTTTTTGTCCTTTCTTTATTTATTGAAATGCAGGTTGGAGGTGATGTTCCTGACACAAACTACCTTTTTATGGGGGACTTTGTGGACAGAGGATTTTACAGTGTAGAAACTTTCCTTTTACTATTAGCTTTAAAGGTACGTTACATGAACAGTCAATCCCTGAATTATTGCTCTAGATGCACACTTAAAATCTAGAGGTATTTGATTGAGATACTTATCAGAAAGGATTTGTTTATTTGACAGGGCTAGGTCATTCACACGCAGTCTTGTGTACTGTTAGTTATTGTTATTTTCTATGACATAGTGCACCAATTCAAGCAAATAATTTGCAGAATAATTTAATTAATGCAGTTTTTTAGTTCTATTAACTTAGCCTTTGAGCAAGCTCTCCTATTTGGGCGAGTGAAGCGAGTTTCGCGAGAATGCGCATGCTAGCGGCGAAGCCGCGAGGGGTCGAGGAAAGGAGAGCTTGGAACGATCTCTCATAAAATTTCATTTGTACTTCTCCCAGACGAAGGGAAATACCATTGGCTGAAAAATGACGTTCCGGAAATCAAAGTTGATTGATAACAGACTAAGCTAGCACCCGCTTCGTCTGTGTGTCAAATTTGTTTCTCAGGGGGATCAGATTGATACCGAAAACTGTTTTCAGCCCTCAAAGCAGACGGGTTCATTTGATGTAATTCTCATAAAGAGAATATTGCGAGCTGAGGATAAGTTGGATCGAGTTTGTAGTTCTTGTGGAAGGAAAATGAAAATCCTTCATCAATTGTATTCATTTGTGTCAAGCGCCTTGTTTAGTTCTGAAAATCAGGAGAGTGAAAGTGGAGAGTGATTCAAGCGCTGTTTTCCAACATCGGTTTCTTCGCCCGGTTGAATTCTACTGGGTAGAAAAATTCAGAAACATGTACTTGACAGTGTAGCTGTGTAGCGTGACCGTAAAGAAGAAAAAGAGAAAGAGTTGAAAGCAACTGGAGTAAAACTTAAGAGAACCAGTTCCAGGAAAACGCTATTCTTCAGTTCCAGACGGACAAATATATGGTGTTTTTGTTGGTGATTGTGATGGGGAGTAGTCTTCTACACTGCAGTACAGATGACTTTTCAAAAGTAAACGAAACGAGAATCAAATTAGTGACTTCTTATCCGAGCGGACACGTTGAAGTTCGATGTCTCCGTGGAAAAAAAACATATCAGCGATTTTAAAAAAGACATTGCTTTGATGCCGTTGCGAAAGCGATTTATAAATAAAGAATTCTACGCGCCCTTGGCCGTCTAAACTTACTTGACAGGCGGTTGTCACTTTTCTAATCTGCAACTCGTTTGCGGCGACAGCTTTGTGGAGTCTCGGGGTTTCCGGGGTGGAAGTGAAAATTTATGAGAGATCGTTGCAAGCTCTCCTTTCCTCGGTCCCTCGCTCGCATGTTCTCGTGAGGCTCACTTCGCTTGCCCAAATAGGAGAGCTTGCTCGCGGGCTATATTAACTACATGCTGTTTTCCTGGTCATAACATTCTGTACTTTCAATAACAACCAATTGAATGTGTTCAACGCAAAATGACTCCTGGGTTCAAACCTTTCACAGCGAACAGTTTGTTAATAAATTAGAAAATTCAGATCCTATTTTTCAAAATACCTGAGTAGAAACAATTCTTGCTGTTTCTATTTCACATTTGAAAGCTCACTGCTGTAAACAAACTCTCAAAAGAAATACTAGACTTTGAAGGAACATGTCAACAAACCACCATCTGGAAAGAAGCACGTGCTCAGTAACTAATAATTGTGCCTCGTTACCAAGCAAACAACAAGAACTAGGAACGCAAACTGAACGATGATCAAATACTGCTATGTACATGTTAATATCTTGCATTCAGGTTTATTCTTTGTATTATTATTTTAACATGCAGAAACCGATAAATACTGAGAGTAAAAAACAGGGAAGGCAAAAAGAGTTTTATGTGGCTACCTTTAGTTGAAATTTTAGACTGCATATTATCCAGTGGTGCAAATTTGATAAGCACTGGTAAATAGGTTTATAACCTACCCCAGTTCACATCAGGCTAGAGGCCGTTTGAAGGGTGCTTTTCAGTTGAAACAAATGACACCTTCTTGAATTATTTTTCCTTCTACTGTAAATTTTCAGGAGAACCCCAGAAGGGGGCTTTTTATTTACAGGGCATCTCATTTGCAATTTAGTTAGGGGTGCCTATTAAAGTGTAGGGTAGGTATAGAAGTTGTTACATGTTATTTTGTTTAGTACTTAAGGTATTTTCCTGTTGTTACTTCAAGGTGCGATATCCAGACAGAATAACATTAATTAGAGGGAACCATGAAAGCAGACAGATTACTCAGGTATGTTATATTAAAAGAAACAAGTCGTTGGTCACTATAAATATTATTGAGGTGGTGAAGGTTAATGGTATCGTATTGCATGAGTGTAAATTGCACATCTAGTGTTAGATGGAATGTAATAAAGTACATGTATACTCTGACTGTGTAATAATAATGCTTTGACAGGAACTGATAAAGTAAGCAACAATCCTTCATAATTTATAAAAGGAGTAGATTATTTTGTTATGTACAGCGGACTGGAAGTAAATCCTTGCAAACTCACAAAATTAAATGTGAGTTGTTTTCAGAAGGTGCAAGTCAAAAGAATATCCTTCAGCAAGCATTATTTTGTGCATGCATTAGAATTTTGTGGCAAAAACCTATGAGTAAATTAAGTAGTACAAAAAAAAAAGTGGTTGGCATGTCAACCACTGGTGATTGAGGTATTATAAATTTGTCCACTCAATTCACTCTTGGCCTGGGTTGTTCAAACGTTGGATAGCGCTATCCACCAGATAAATCACTATCCAGCAGATAAGTATTGCGGAAATCAATTACGTTATCCACTGGATAGTGATTTATCCGGTGGATAGCACTATTATCCAACACTTGAACAACCGGAGCCAGGAACTTATTTAGTTGATGTTTTCATATCAGTGGAATCTACTCTGCTTATATGTCAAAGCACAATAGATAATTAATAGATGTTCAGCAGAACCCCGGTAACTCGAACTCTGAAGGGAAACGATAAACAGTTCAAGTAAACAGGGAATTCAAGTTATCTGGGTAACTATCAGTGAAATTTTGATCAAGGGAAAGGAAAGTTAGTTCGAGTTTTCGGAATTTGAGTCATCAAGGTTCCTCTGTATATACTTTGTATGTTTGTGCTGAAAAAAAAGACTCCACTCAAAAATCTCATCAAGAAACACTTTCAGGAAGTAACGTCAGTCTAATTTTCTCTTCAATTTCAGGTTTATGGATTTTACGATGAGTGTTTGAAAAAGTATGGATCAATAACAGTGTGGAGATACTGCACAGAGATATTTGACTACCTTAGTTTGTCGGCTATTATTGATGATAGGGTAAGCTTACTTTTCATCTGTTTCCAAACTATTGTATTTGTGTTACTGACTACCATTAAAATCTTGTGTAACGTGGACAAGAAAGAATCTTTGTATGTTCAGGAGTTCCTAGTGAGGAATATCAGTGATGCTAATCTACTGCTTTCCATATTATAACTTTTATTTTGTAAAGGATGTTTATGCTAGTCTCACTAAATTGCCCGATGCCCCACTCTCCTGACCTCTCTAATGATGTTGTTGTATGGCCTGTGTATAGTCCATTAGACAAATTTTTAAGACTGATTTTCAAACAGATTTCACTGAAGGTATTCTGTGTTTGCCATTAATGTTGACTTTACATCTTTACTGGGGTTCTCATTTGTGTAGAACACTGGATGTGTACAGGACATTATTCCTAATTGGTTCATCTTCACTTTGTAGATATTTTGTGTTCATGGTGGTCTGTCTCCATCGATTACCACCTTAGACCAAGTAAGATTTTTTATTATACATTAGTTATTGGAAAATGCATGTGTTTGAAGTGTCAAAAATGCAAACAGCAACATATTATTTGGTTGAAAAATAAACAAAGATGTATGTTAAGATGTCCTTCTCTGCCACAGACTTGATTTTGCATGTGCTTAAGTATTTATATGGTGTCAAGGAGAAGTTCTCTGAAACTTCAAACTTTTTCACTAGATCCGAGCAATTGATAGGAAACAAGAGGTTCCTCATGATGGACCAATGTGTGATTTGCTCTGGTCAGATCCAGAAGGTAATTACATAGTTACACGCTTAAATGGCAACATGTGTTCCCTTCACTCTAAGCAAACTACTTACTGCTTTGTATACATGTGTAATTGCCTGGCCAAGGACTGTTTGTGTGGCAGTCAAACAACTAAGGTTGTTTCCAAGCTTTATGACAACAGGCTGTAGAAGTTTGAAATTTCAAAAAATACAGGGAACATAAATGTTGTCAATTTTGCAACTAGGCTTTGGGACTTATGACATTTTTGAAAACCTAGGGGTCTGGTTTTGACAAAAGTGTCCCGAGAATGTCAAATCCAGAGCTTTATTCCAGCAGTGCGCATTGGCCCCTGGCACCTTATTATTGCTCTTGTGGGTTAATAGGAAATCATAGCTTTTTCATAGAAATCTAAGCAAGAATAAGTTGACAAGAAATGTATAATAAGTTTGAATATTATTTTTGTAACGTTGTATTGTAATAACTTCAGTCCCTCCTCTTGTGTCATGTATATAGATCTGTCCTCCTTAAATTCCTTTCCTCTACTTGATTTCTCCTTAGTTATGAATTACTTTATGTTTTCCTCTGCCTTCCTCGACTAGCCAAGCTATTTGCGAGGAGAGGATGTTTGTGTGTACATGTATATATGTTTTAATTTAATTTAATGTGTAACTTATGAAGATCATTAAACTTCAATCTGGGCACCCTAGATTTTACTGGCTTAGAGCACTGGGCTTGCTTTACTTTTTCTTAGAGTACAGCCTCGAAATCTCCCTAGGTACTCCCACCCTCTCCGCCCTTACCTGAGCTAAGAGATTGATAGGTGCATAAGTATACCGAGTTCATTGCATGCTCCCACCTATCATGACACCTCCTCTCTTATTTATTTATTTATTTATTTACAAAAGCAGGTTAACAGACTCCAATCCCCTACTAGGCCCATTCACCCAGGGTTACAATCTACACTGTAATCCCTCACAAGCTACCAACCATCGACACAAGACCTTGATTGGATCTGTTTTTGGACTAATTGACTATCAATTTGTGACAATTGAAGTGGTGCTAACAACAAAAGCCCCAAGTGACTTCTGATAAATGATAAACTTTAAGAAGTTCTTTTCTTATGCCTTGTCTGTGACTATGAAGCAAAAGGAGAATTTGACATGAGATCGGGAGCTACTTAAAAAGGATGCTTCCAGACATCTTTTAAACCAGAACATTGTATTTGCTTGTGATTTTAGATACACAAGGTTGGGGAGTGAGTCCAAGAGGAGCAGGATATTTATTTGGCAGCGATGTTGTAACTCAGGTATCAGGAGTCATGTTTATTAATCAATCTTTTGTGTGGTAAAGTATGATTCCATTGAATTAAATTATAGCTTATTAATATAGCTTGTTAGCCGCTGTAGTAGCATGGCCCACATCTGCCCACAGGCGACTAGAGTGGCCCGAAACAAAGCATTTCATTTTAAAGGTTTTATTGGTCTGTTTTTAAAGACAATAACCTGTATTGTTTGGTCTAACAATCAGAAGAAAGGTCCCTTAGGATTTTTTAGCGTTCCATCAGGCTACTTGGTCAGTTGTTTTGAATTTTTTATGTTTACACTTATCAACATGGTGGGGTACGGTGATGGGTTCGGGGCTCGAAATTGCGACTGATACGGTCGCCAATGCGACTAACATTTTCTCCTTGGCGACTAAAAATTCTGGTTTAGTCACCAAAGTGGCGACCAGATTTTAGAAGAGTACAAATATTTCATCTTATCTTGCTTTGCTTTCATCATGAAAAATGTGCCAAATCGCATAAACAAAGCCACTTTACCTCCAAATTTATACCGACTTCATGATATTCAGTTTTCAAATCTGATGGATCGCACCATACTATGCTGGGCTTCTGATAGGTAGCGGAAAAAAGTCAAATTTCCCGGGATTTTTAGGGGCAAATTCGCGGAAAAATCGGCCGATTTTGCGGCACTTTCGCGGGAATGTTTGGGCCAAACTTCGCCGAAAATCAATCGGTAAAAAAGGCCAATTTTGTGGTTATTTTTGAGGGAAAATTTTGTCAGATGTCGATCGGCTTTGCGCCGATCAGACCAGCGTTATTAACGTTTTTCTAACAGAGGTCATCATTTGCTCTTTCAACAACAATACGCTCCAGAAATGAACTAATGGCAAAGCCTTTAACATCATGGCTAGTGCCCAGTTTTTCGCAACATAATTGCGCCTGGTAGTTTCGGGAAGGTTATTCGCACGTTTCAGTGACGAAGTATGAAGATAAATTTGCAAGTTTAGGGCAAGTAAATAGCCCCAATAGCTGAGATAAGTTTCAAATATGTTGTACAGACGTGTTTGATAAGATTTGTACTGAATTTCGCGGTATTTTGCGAGTTTTTGTGAATTTCGCGGCTCTGCTACTGCTCGAAATATCAGAAGCCCCGTACCTATGAGCTGTGTCATTTACATATTACAAACTGGCGACTAAAAATTTGCATGTGGCGACTACATTTCTCCGGTTGGTCGCCAAAAGGCGGCCTGAAGATTTTTTTAATTTCGAGCCCTGGGGTTGTTTGATTCCTTTGAGAGGTGAAGAAAATGAAGACAATTTATTTAAGTGGAGACATAATATTGATGTTTTTGTTAGTGAGGCCAGTGGTTTAGATCGTACCTCACAAACAGATCTCAAATTACATCAGTTGGAGATGCTCATTCTGCATCTACCGAAATGCCTATTGGAGTACCCCAAGGAAGTATATTGGGACCTTTATTGTTTTTAATTTACGTGAATGATCTTCCGGACTGTCACCTGGCAAGCGATATTATTCTTTATGCAGACGATACTGTACTCTATTACTCATCCAAAAGCATCAGTGATCTTGAACATCACATCAATGCTGACTTGGGGACAGTGTCTGAGTGGTTCTCTAGAAATCTCCTGACACTAAATATATCCAAATGTAATTTTGTTATCTTTGAAAGTCCTCAGAAACTGAATCGTATTCAAGGCATTTCGGTTAAAGTAGAGGGCACTAGCATTGAAAGAACACAATCATTCAAATACCTAGGCGTAACGCTTCAACAGTCTATGTCCTGGGCAGATCACGTCGATGCTATCAGCATGAAGATTAATCAGAGAATAGGCCTAATTAGGAGAATCAGGAATCTATTGCCGCTACAAGCTAGAGTTGCCTTGTACAATGCCCTAATCCTCCCTCTTTTTGATTACGGAGACGTTATATGGGGGGACAAAAACAATGACACCATCATGTCAGAATTACAGATTCTACAGAATAAAGCTGCTAAAGTTATGCTGGGGCAACCACCCCGAAGCTCGTCAACTGAAGCACTGAAAAGTCTAGATTTGAAGTCACTGTCCACAAGAAGGTTTTTTCATCGCTGCATTGCAATCCACAAGCGTCTTATTGGAGAAACCGATTTCAGCTTTAATTTTACTAAAAGTCAAGCTGTTCATTCATATAATACAAGACGCTCTAATGATATTCGCTTACCCCTACCCAGAACAAACTGGGGTAAACAAACTTTTGTTTTTCACGCCGCGAAAGACTGGAACAGCCTTCCAAATGATTTAAAAGAGTGTAATATTTTATCTATTTTTAAATCCAAGTTAAAAACTTTTTTAAAAAGATCTCAGCTAATTTTAAACCTTGATGTTTTTTTGTATAATCGATTTTAAGATTTTAAATTTTTAAATTTGTTTTACTTGTAAACATATTTTACTTTTTTCATAATTATTAATTAATTAGTTAGATTAATGCATGAGGGCCCCACTGAAAACCGCCTTGGCGAGTTGGGCTCCCTCTATAAATATTATTATTATTATTATTATTATATAGATGGATGTGCATGTAATAGCAAGGAAAAAGGTTAAACTTGACCTTTCAATGTCAAACAAAAAAAAAATTCGAACTAACTTGATATAATACAGCGTGAAATGACAAAATTAAATAAGCATTGAGCATTAAGTGTTGTTTGTGTCCATTGTTATTGTTAGTGTGCATGCTTGGTAAGTATGACTAGTTTTGCACAGATGGGTTCTGATTGTTTGTTCAAGCTAGTCTTCTTCTTTACGAATGACATCTCATAAATTAAGTAGTTTAATTTTCCATTGCATTTGTTGAGGATAGAAAAGTTATTGACTATGATTGTGTTCAAAAAGGTAATATTGTATTTCTACATACCTTTATAATAATTTTTTTTTCGTAGTTTAATGCTGCAAATGACATTGACCTGATCTGCCGTGCTCATCAGTTGGTTATGGAGGGATACAAGTGGCATTTTAATGAGACAGTTCTCACTGTCTGGTCAGCTCCTAATTATTGCTACAGGTACTGCATGTGTGGCAATCAGAAATTCTTTTATGCGTTGCTTGAAAGTAATTCAGATTTTGAGGCCAAAAAAAAACATTTACAATCCTTTAGACAAAACCTTTCAGTGAGATCTAATATACTAGTCAAATTGACGGGTGCCTAGAGTACACCTGGAATTTTCTGTTGTCTTTATCATATTTTAGCGGGGCTCCCGCGCGCGCGAAGCGCGCGTGGGACAGAGCCCCATACTCATGGAATATGGTCAACCTCTTTTCGTTTGGTTGTCACGTGATTGACCGAGCGTGCGTGCGTGCGTCACGCACGCACGTGCATCGCGTGCACGCGTCTACAGATTGTAACGGGTGGGGTAGGGGAGACTATCAAAAGGAAGGGAGGGGTGTCTCAGGCGTGTCTTGGCAAGTCCACATCTTTAATATAGGATTTTAGTATAGGACATTCACAATATGGTCAATTGACAGCTGTCAAAACAGGATAGCCACTGACCAGTATCCCATGACCATATCGCGGGCTCATGTGTCAACTCATCGAGGTGACGTGATTTATTTGGAAGCTGTCCGCTGACCAGTTAATTGTTTTACTAGATCGCGAACAATGTTCAATCTCATACTAGTTAAACTGATAATGCCCACATATTGGACATCAATGTTTTGATCAATTGACAGCTGTCAAAACAGGGTACCCGCTGACCAGTATCACTTGACCGTATCGCGGGCTCAGGTGTCGACCCATCGAGGTCAAGGATTTTTTTGAAGCTATCCGCTGACAAGTTACTTGTTTTAAAGTGATCGCAGGCTCAAGTTCAATTTTTTTCTAAATTCATATGAAATATGTTGTGTTTATGTGCTACACAATTAAAATTTTGATTGCAAACTGACCTCGGACGCGAAAATTCAGCTAGCTGTTACAGGCAGGGAAGACAGTTGGTTTTGACTTTTCTCACCATGGTCGCGTTGGTCACGCTCTCGTCCAATTTTTATGCTCTGATTGGTCAAAATTTGACAGGTGAGTTCATGCGCAAAATTTATGCAGCATCTTGAATCTTGTTTACTTTGACAGCTGAAGCTGACAGAGTTTTGTGTCAACTTGTGATGTTTTTAACTGTCTTTTTCCACTGGATGTGCAAAATGAAATTCAGCTGCTATCAGGAGTCTTCTGTTATTCATGGCTAGTTTGTTTATTGGGTTTTGGTTGAGGAATACGTCGCTTGTCAAAGTCGGAACCGATTTCGGATGGCATCGTTTTCGTTTTCACCTTGCTTGATGCGTAAGAGGATTGCAAAGTCTGAAGCGATACTGGCTTTTCTTGATAACTTTCAGGAGCTGCATCTCGAATGGTAAGCCAGAGAAATTATTGTATTTGATGTTTGTTTTTGTATCTAATTTAATGAAGTCGGCGTAGTTTATGCGGGCATTTAGTTTATGCACGTTTGTAAGATTTGAGACAATGATCTGACCGAGTATCAGGTTTGATATAAGCTTACGGAACTTTAAAAAGCCTTTAGACAGTTTCTCACCGCAAATAGAAAAAAACGTTCCAAAGAATATTTAGTTATAATTCTGGCGGAAAAGAAAGCTTTGAGCGATTTTCTTGCCTCGAGTTAAATCTTTGAAAAAAGCAAACACCGGGACGCCTTGCTTAAAACATAAACTTAAGCTTGAAGCTTGAAGACTCAGGATTTTTAGGGACACTTTAATACTTGTCTTCCTGAATGAAAATTGTTGTCTCTGTATATGTTTCACCGAATTATATTTCTTTTATTGATTGTTAGTAGTCTTTCTTGTAATTTTAATCGCTGTGCCGATTGTTTTCAGTCGTTCAGTGAACATCGCTTGCAGGAGTTATTTAACTCAAAATGCAGCGTAACTCTGTTAATGTTCATTCAAACACTCGCCACAGCTCGCACTACAAAAGTGAGAACCGGATGGCCGTATAGGTGATTTTGGAAATTTTTTAACAGTTTATGAATATTGAATGAGTGGAATTTGTATTGTGAAATACTGGTTTCTGTCCGAGGTCTGCGGTATGATAAAAACAGTGCCTCATACTACTGTTTCACCTCAGATGTGATGTATAAATGGTATAAAAGTTTGGTTTACACGCACCCAGATTTGTTGACAAGATTTTGCAAAAGTAAACTTGTCGAGCATAAAAAGTTGGCCTGATTTTTTTTCCACTTATTAATCTACGGTGAACAAGAGCCATTATGGCTCTTAAATGTGATCGAAGATGATTACCAGTTTTTAAGTGTACATATGAGGCTATCAACTCGATGTAAGATTTGGTTCACTCTTGGGCTGTTTGCAAATTATTTTTCTCTAAAATCAGGTAGCCTTTCCCTCAAAAGTCACATAAATGTGCTCTAAAGTTAACTGAATTGTGGAATTCGAATACAAGTTTATTGTTTAATTTAAATTATAAATTTATTAATGGGAGCCTCGCTTTTAGCCCTGGCTAAATCTATATATTATTTGAATAAACACTGCAGCACTTATTAAATTTTTCATGCCTCAAATGCAGCACTTATTTGAGGGTGGCATTCATTTGAAAATTGTCTTAATTATGGTATTATTATTTTCCAAATTAACATCTTTTGATTTTGATTATTGGGCCATGACACTTATTCCGGGGCTGCACTGAGTAACTTTCTTCTCCCAAATACAGCACTTGATCGGCAGCAGCGCTTATTTGAGTAAACACGGTATTGCGTGTTCTTTAGTCATCTTTGAGTGAGAAGGAAACTGTTTTTTATTTGGATGAACGTGGTGACGGAGAGTGAAAGGATACTTGGAAGGAGACTCTGGCAGTTAATCATAATTTACCTTAGGCTCTTTTCAGCCCACGCTTAACGTTACTTAATAAAACAGGAGTGAACCTTATGTTTTTCTTAAAAAGATGCATTTCTTTTGGCATCTGTCTTAATCAGCATTGATACTGATGATGTACTTTATTTTGGTTGCTTTAGATGTGGGAATGTTGCTGCAATATTAGAACTGGATGAACATTTAAAAAGAGAATTTACAATATTTGAAGCAGCACCTCAGGTGGGTTTATTTGATATGACATTCACTTTGTAAGGCTAGTTTTTTTAATTGTTATGAGTTACTTTAATGTGACATTACTCAAATGGCGCTTTCTACGGTATAACTAACAATTTAAAATATAGACGACTTGGTTTGCAGCTGAGTTAAGTCCTCTCAGAAGGTACCCTATCAATTTTTGGGTGGGGGTGTGCTCCCTTCCAGCAGAGCCTTTCTGTCACTTGCTTGAATTTGGAGTACTCGAGAAAGACTGCGTGAATCAAGTAGGGTCCTTGTTGAGAATGTGTTGCTTGTTGCTAGGATACAGTTTTGAACCCAGTTGCTTGGCACAGTGGGGTTATGACAATTGACTAGTATTTGCTATTCTAAGTGGCTGGGCTCTCTTTTTACGGTAGTTTCTTGGTGATGCAGACGCGTGCAATCTCCAAATGACATAGTACAAAAGATTGAAAAGACAATGAACAATACCCACAACACAACATAAAAGCAAACCAACAATATTTTCCACAACACCAAGAAACACCCCTTTTTTTGCCTAGTGTCAACCTTTTCTTTACTCTTCTGAATGTGCCAAGGGCGCTAATAAAGTTTAAATTTGAGTTTGGGAGCACTTGTGCTACCAGATGTAAATTTTTAGGCGCACAGCTGAACATTTTAGGAGCACAGCTTATAATGTTGGGAGCATCTATTTCAAAAGAATAAGTAAACAGTGCCACGTTTATTTGTCATCTTCAGTTTGTTACTTTTACTTCAGTCCTGTGATTGATAAAACACAGCCGATTTGCTACGCAGTAATACCGTTGTGATATTTAATACTAAACTCTCTTTTTGACAGTACAGTTGTGACTAAAGAAAACTTACACTTGAATCACAATTCAAAACTGACAACAATGAGTGTGTCAAACGAGAATGAAAATTAATCTTTAATGAATTCGTTAAATGCGCACTGACTTACATGTAACTGGAATGCGACTTAAAAAACTTTCTTACCTGGAAAAAAAGGCTCTTAATCCGCACTGTTTTTGTTTTGATTGACGTTAAAACTGAATGTTCAACATGATCGTCCACTGCGCAAAAAGTACAGGTTTTGTTCGTAGCATATATTTGCATGTATCAGCGGTGTTTATTACAAAACATACACCGTCTTTGTAGTTCGAGTTCGTAAGTATAGCCGGAAGTCAGTCAGTCGCACTGTGCTTTGGGTTTTACGACGCACAGGTGCGATTACAACCAAGGGGCGCACAACCAAAAATCCAGTCGCACATGTGACCAGTTAGTCGCTAACTTTGAGCCCTGATTTGTGATCGATTATCATTAAAGAATGCTCACTCTCGGAAAATCAGTTTGACCAGATAACAAGGTCGACTTGTGCAGAAGTTCAGGTGTCAGCGACTTCAAATGCTTGACACAATAATTATTCAGGCAGATCCTCCTTTTCTCCTCCTCACTTAAGAGGTCAAAAGGAGGCTGTGCTTGCAGGGTAGGGGGGTCATCTAGACCATGTTTAGTTCCAACATTTCCTACACTATCCTAGACTAAGAACCCTTTTATTCTCTATATCACTGATCAAGTTTCGGATCAATTTAGGTTTCTGGGAAACTACCCACCTACTCCTCCCCTAAGCTAACATTAACACTTGCTTTTCATTTTGGGCAAAATAATGACGTAGGGGAGGGGTAGGTGGGCAGTTTCCAAGAAACCTAAATTGATCCCAATTTTCTATAAGTGATACCTTATTCTAGATCAAAATTCTTTGGTTTCTACATCCTGTTCCAGACTAAACTGCTTCCTGGAGATCCTACCCCTCACAGTGACACATTCCCATAATGCTCACATACATGTAATCATTATGGTAGTACCCCACCCCACCTGACTGGGGTAGGAAGCTGAAGTCATTCATTTTGCAGGCATTTTGTATTGAGAAGTGCAAATTGTTGCTCTCACTGGTAGTTTCTTTAACTTGAGTATTTATAAATATTGATTTTCCTTTAGTTTGGCTGAGTTCTTGACTTTGATTTGCATGTAATGAATCTCTGATTTCTTGTACAGGAGGTGAGAGGATTGCCAACTATTGCCAAGAAGCCTCAGCCAGATTATTTCCTCTGAAGTCTGTTTCTCCCTCCTCTGTTCTGGCATCAAACCTCATATATTATACCCCTACCTGGGATGTTACTGTCTTGGGGTGAAAACTGATTATGTCGCAGTTTATTGTTCCTTCAAATCACACAGCAGAACATGGGCTGAGGATTGACTCTTTCACTACTTTAGAGAGAGTCGTGATGAGATGTTGTCGCAGTCCTTTGTATTATGTGAATGAAATCCTTTAGTGTCACAATTCAAATAAAACCTCTTTGACAGTACTTTTCATATGTCTATGTGTTCCAAAAAATATCCATACCCACCCCACTAAGTGTCATTGGAAATTCCAATGGGAAGGGGGTCTTAAATGCCAAAATATTTTAATAGCAAGTGTGAACATAAAATGTAATTTCCAGTGGGGCAGGGTTGGGGGGGAGGGGGGACTCAAATCTAAATCTCCCCATGATTGAGGTATGGATATTTTTTGGAACAGCACAACTTAAGAGTTAACCATTGCAGTCGGTAAATACAATGTGTGCCAGTCTAATAGAGTCAAGAATCTCGCCAGTTTAGCGTAATCTCGTCTTCATCATTCACAGTCACAGCTGTTCTCCTGAAAGAATCATGGTTTTTTCTTTTTTACTGTTTGGGACACTAAGGATGCTGTCTCAGGGCTGTCATTAAGGCCCAGGGCTCGGGGATTTTCCCTGCCTATTATGAACCTGACCCTCATCTACTTTTGTAGGAAAATAGAAGAAAAATAGAACCAAACAAATCGTAGTTGTTGGATTCCCCGTCTACTGGAATCATTAGCCCGGCAACTTGAAATTTAAATGACAGCCTTGTGTCTTCGCCCATTTATACGGTTTCATCATCAAGCATTGTTAATAATAGTTAAGTTATTAAACTACATACCTCTTTATCTGTTAATGATATATTAGTGGTAGGGTTAAATTATTTGAAAATACCTTAACATACATTTTGTCACTCTACAGTGGCTATTGTTTGCATTTGCGTCATATAATGCCTTGACAGTATTTGGTTTTGTCAGAGTGTGCAAACTGTTACCCTGGGCGCCAGAGGTTTTCTTGTCTTTTGGGATGACAATATTGAGCAGCAAAACCACAAAAGTGAGTTGTGAAGCACTTCATTGTTTACACCTCTTGCCATTGGTGAGAGAGAAGACCTCTGGCATCCATGGTAGCAAACTGTAAACAATAAGTGAAAGCCAAGTTTCACACCAGATTCAAAAAACATACCACAGTGGCTGTGCCACCATTAACTTAAATTTATGTCCTTACAAAGTAAGCTTCACGTACTGTGAATTTGTTTAGAAAGATCATTTTAGGTAGTTTTCCATTTTACTTCCAAAGTCCTGTTGTGAGAAGCAACAGACTTTGTCACTATTATGGCCCTTGTCATAGATACAATAATTCCTTTAACAAGATACATCCAACAGGTCTCAGTTGATTAAACAATCATCTTTGTTGCCCAACATGTTTGTCTAGCATGTAATTTTATTGTGACCTTTGAAATTTTAATACTCTTATAGTGCTTTCCAAAATTCAGAACTGGCTGGCTAGACCAGACATTGTGCCAATGAAATTGGCCTTTTCCAAGAGGTTTTGTGGAAAAACCATCTCCTTTGTGCATAATATTTAGGATTTGACTGATGTGGATGGTTAGTTTTGGTTAAAAGTGAAATTCTCATTATGATGGGAATGGGCTGACTGGTCAGCTCCGACAAATGGAAAGCACCCTCAGTGAATTTTGATCCTTGAGTTAGTTACCCGTCATTTTGTCTCAGGGTCCGACAGAGAAACCTAAAATATTACTTGTCTTATAAATTTTGGTAACTCATTTTCAAGTTAAATAGGCCAAGCTGTGAAGGCTGAGGGAAATAAAACAAACAAAATGATTTATCACTGAATCTATACCACTCAGCTTTGGTGCTAAGTATGAATAATGTTTGAAAATTTGAAAGTGGCCTATTTGGCTCTCAATTGATGCAATTAATGATAGAGTCTGTTTTGATGGCCAGTCCATGCTTACCACCCTAGGGTGATCCTAGTAGGGTCCTTTTATAAAATATATCTATGGTAATTACACAGCGCACTGCCTTGTATGTCCACAAAGATAAATATCCTCAATACACTCTTCCTGACATTCCTTAACACGGCTTTACAACTGATCTCATTAAATTATAAGCAAATGTTAGCCAGTAATTTATTCAAAATGTAGTTTTCCTACCTTGTAGTGGCTACTGTTAATTGCTCTTTGTCATATGACAATCTTAAGTGCATTGCTATGTTACTGTATATTTAGCAGTGTTAAATTATCAGTTGCGTTAAAACCATTGACTGTCCTACTATTTAAATTTACACAATTTTTTATTACTTAAAGTAATCTACTGTTGTAGGGAAAAATGTTGCTAGCTGCAAAATCTTTTATTAAAACACAAATTTCAGTTAATAATGGTCTTGTTTGCAAGAAATATTAATCTTTTTCGGATCCCGTAAGTGCTAAAAAAGCCAAAGGGACATGCCTGTGGCAAAAGTATTATATGTATACTTGAGTTCAGCTTATGCAGAACTGCTGTCAAATTGCTAAACAGAAGGACTAGAGTGAGAATTTTGATATCTGCAACATGTCAAACTGAAAAGTCGATCAGGTTGACAGGCAGGAGTAACAAATTCATACCTTTTCAAGGTCAAGTACATCAGATTGGAAGGATTATCCTTCACTACACACTTTACAGCCTCCATTCTGACAAAATAATTATTGTGCTTGTTGCCTCAGGCTTACGAACCATTAGAATTGAAAAGGTTGTCCCAGTAATGTATGTGTCGTCTTGAAATAAGCACCACAAAAAGGGCCTTGATAACAGCAGAAAGCTGCAATTCTCTTGATAATGTCCATTTGTGAAGCCATACCCAAGAAACCATTTGTTTGAAATCTTGAAGTCCAGGGTCAAGTTGTTCAAAGCTGGGTTAAGATAACCCAGGGTTATTGTGAAAATAAACCTCAGAAATGAACTCTATAAAACTAAATTTAGTCTAATTCTTTTTGTCTACAATAATGTTATTGGATGGTAGGATGCTCTATAGCCTGCGAAGCACAGACGTATTTCCGGTGGGCGCTTCTCTCCCCCCGAAAATTAACAGTGATCATGCAAAATCTTTCAATTTTTTTTTTTCGCGCGCTAACCAGCACCTACGATTCTATTTTGAATTAAACTGATAACTACAAACATTCAACAACAAGATCACTGTTTTTGAACAATAATCGCTATCCGGGAATAATCAAGTACTCTTCTATCAATCATAACTGGTACAGTTTTTATGCTATTGAGCTCATTTTTTTTTCGTTTTAATGTAGAGACTTTAATCTTTTTAATGATAGTAAAATAATGTGTGTACTGCTATAAGTGTTCTTACAGCTATTTTCGGAGGGAGAGAAGCGACGCTCGGACATACGTCTGCACTTTGCAGGCTAGATGCTCTAAAGAGAATGGTGAAAATTATCTGAGAAAATGCTAATTTGAAGAAAAGAAAAAGAAACCCCATTAACATTTAACCCAGGGTTAGCACTAATCAACTTTTGGAGGGAGAGAAGCAACGACTGGAAATACTTCTATTTCCTTTGTTGCCCAAGAGAGACAGACAGCTTTCCTAGACCTACAAAGGATGGGAGATGTCTGCATTCAGGCTGGCAATTTGGCCACCAAACAGAGTGCTGCTTACAAGAATTTGTAGTGGGATTACTTTCTACAGTGAATAGGGATTGAACACTTCTACAAGGTTTGCACAGTCTTGAAAAGTTCTTGAATTCGCCATTTGCACATCTCTCATAATACACCTTGTTTGCTCCCCAACATTTTGCATAAACGTTTGTTTTTAATTTCTCCAGGGTAAATACAGTAGTCCCAAGAGAAAAAAGAAGACAATGCTTATGCTAAATTACAGGGGGCAAACAAGGTACATTGTGGGAGATATGCAAATGATGAATTCCATTCTTGCCTTAACCCATTCGCCCCTGAAAAAGTCCTCATCAGTTTTCGGTCAAGGACAAACTCCTTGAAGCAGGGTGAAGAGTTTTACCAGAATATAGGTGTGACAAGGACCCTCCATGAAAATCTTGTTTTAATGCTTTTTCGTAAGGTTGTCAAAACTCTTCCCACCAAAAAATATAAATCAAGAGAAAAAAAAATATCTAAGAGGAGATAAATCAAGATGATTTATTTAAACCCAAATTAATTTTTGTTTTATGCAATAATGGATCAGAAAAATTATAAACCGGTTTTTAAGACAGGTGAACTGAAAAATGTAGAGCAGGTTGGAGCGAATGGGAGCAAACAAAGCTTGAAAGTACCGGAGTTTTGAATATAGTGCCCCTGTTGTCAAACACCAAATATAAATCATATCTAAGAGGAGATAAATATGATTTATTTAAAGCATTAATTTTTGTTTTATGCAATAATTAAAAATTATAAATTTAAGACAGGTGAACTGAAAAATGTAGAGAGGTTGGTGGAGCAAACAGCTAAAGTGTTAAAGTCCTGTTGGAGTGGACTAGGAATGTGCATTTTTGTACAACCTGTGAGAGGTAGATGGTCCTTGAAAAGTCCTTAAGAAAAGGTTGCAATTTTTTGTATGAACCCTGTTTTAGCAACGTATTGTTTTTTCTCAGGCAAAAATCTTGGCATTTATAAAAGTTCTGTAAGCAGCGGTAGGATGTTAGTTGCCAGCCATAATGAAACCCATTGTGGTGCGACCAGGAAAACTGTGAACGCTTGAAATATCTCAGGAATGTTTATTGTGTTATGACCAATCACAGCAAAGATCAGGACACGTGAACTGGCCACAAAACCACAAACTAATTAAAGTTCGTGCTTGGGGTTTAGTTTTCTCACACCTGATTTTCTTTTCTCTTGCAAGACAAAAACATTCCTGAAATGCTTCAAGTGTTCACAGTTTTCCTGGTTGCACTGTAAAAGAAAACCACATGAAAAAGAGGCAATGTGTCTAAAGAAATGGATTTATTTACAACCAAAAGAAAATTAGGTTTACTAGTACAAAAAATCTTTAAAATTAACCATTCAATTCTTTATGTCTTGAAAAATGTTTTCATAGATTTATTTTTATTGACTAATATAGGATTTTGAAGGTTGACTTTTCCCTTCACTGTGTTTTATAATCTCTAACAGAAAACAATAATCGAACAGAGGAAAAAACTCAAAGGCCCACATAACAGCCTACATGTATCACTTAACTAATCCCACAAAGGTCTGTTTCATATTTGTTTCGTAAAAACTGTGTGGTACTGATGTACTCATATCGATATTCCTGGAAAGGAGAAGTGTTATCCATCAGAGAGTATCTTGTTTAAGACTATTAGATTAAAGTGTTGCCTAGCAAACAAGTTGTGGTATGAAACAATTCTAAGAATGTTGCCTTCATTATGACAGACTTGCAATGGTTTATAACAAAGGTTTTTGGTGAAAAAGTACAAACAATTTTTCAGGGGCTCAACTAAAAACAGCAGATGCAGTTTCTTTTCTCTTAGTGCATGGCCAAATTTGACTCAATAATAATTATGGCAAGTAAATTTTTCAAAGTTAACGTCAAGAAACATTTTACTTGCCAGCCATTAAATCAATATTGTAAACTGTAAAGATAAATAAAAGAATAATAATATTGTATTATTGTTTGGTCACACAAGACAATTGCAATCTGTCTTTATACTACTATAACAGCACCTCAAGCTATTGTGAAATCTGGTTCCCTACAAACATGATGGTGTGACAAATACTTTATAAAACTTCTACGAGCCGTCACTGTTGGACACACTTTCCTGGGGCTTCATCACATCTGGCAATTCTGGTGGGGTGGACAGGTCGGCAATGACTACTGGTTCAAATTCTCCATCTAAGACAAAAATAAAAGTGTGAACTACATTAATTTTTGCGATTTTGGACAATTCTTGTCATTATAAGTGCCATCTAGGTGTTGCCAAAACTATTCTCTGTTTTCACTGTCACGCCATCAAAGATAAAAATGCAAACCATTCAGTACAGAAAGTCTAGAATAAAGATAAAGATACAAATAGCGTTGCTAAGATTCAGGTCTGTGCGACATTTCATATGCAACATATTCAGAAAAACGTTTTACCCATAGTTATAAAGTTTTGTATGGAGGCCCCATGTTGGTGTCTCTTTGAGGGGCACAAATATGGCCACTGCAAACCAACAGAAACATCTGTTTTTGAGGTTTTCCTACAAATGTGGGAATCCATTGCTTGATGAACTCATGAAGATTAAAGTAATGTTTATTTTGACACAAGGAATATTTAGATAACAAAATCTCAAAAAATCAGTAATGTTTTTGACCCACTTAAGAGTTTTCCCACCACCAACCAAATGCGATGTCACGCAGAAGCACAGTTACAGAGAAAAGTGCAAATACAATAGGAAAATACCGACAGCAACATCGCTTCATCCTCAATACGCTAAACGAGAGGTTTTGAAGTTCAGACTAGAGACATATGTAACCCCCTATAGCTAAGAGGGCCTCATCATTGGCACGGAGCACAAATTTCAAAATCAGCTGATAAGAAATCAGTTGTGACTCACAAGCAGAAATATTATTATATTTGCTGCATTTTACAGTTCTTTGAGTTAGTTCTAAAATTGACAATAGTTATAATGCACTGCAAATTGGTTAAACATACTTATAACAGTAACACTGTACATGTTTATTTCTGAAAACAGTTCCTTGTTTATTCATACTCAACCCTTAAAAGCCCCAATATCCACAAATGAATTCTCCACACTGATCTCCATACATTTCCATAGGCGTACGGGCAATTTTTTGCCAGGGGGGGCGGTAAACCATTTTCCCAAAAAACTCTTGCAAGTTGCCCAAATTTTTACAAAACAGTCGAACAGAAACGAGGGCCATGCGATGCAACAACATAGGCCGTACTAGCATATGAAAGTATATGAAAGTGGCTCGATACAGTTTTTCAGGGTCAATACCTGTGAAGTTTTTTTTGAGCATAGACTATGACACCATAAACAAACATTTGGAAAAATTGCCACCACAGTTGTATTTATTTAGATAAAGATGAAAATAAATATGTTATGATCCGGGTTGCAATAAAATCAGAGTTGTCATAGCAACCAAATGACGCCATTAGCTATTATACTTGCAGGAACATTAATGGAAACTGCTCTTCCAAAATCGTTCACGGGAGCATTTTCCTCCAATGGTCGCCTCGATGTTCGTGAAGTTAAAATGGAATCTGTAAGAGTGTTGCGGAGATATTTTGGGATAAAGTTTTTATCGTTAGAAATACGGTAAAAAAGGAAAATCTTGATGTTTGGCTGTTATCTGTAGAAAACGAAGCACTTTTGACATGCAATTTCACCTCATAGTAGTTTCAATCTTTTTACAAACATAGGCCAAAGATCATGGAAATAGCTCTGACCAAAAAAGGATTTGAGTATTTAGTATGTATCAAGGCGCTCTTGTTAGCGGTTTTGTAAACATTCTGGTCTACTTTAACAAATTAGTGAACAATTTTTAAACCACTCGATAGATTTTTTCAAAAAAAATTACGATTCTTCGCGTAATTCAAACTGAGAATTATTCAGCCACTTCTTCACTTTCAGACCCATTGCTGATGCTATCTGCCATACACTGTTCTGCGAGCGGAGATGATTCTAGAAAGTTAGGCGGAAGTTTATTCTAATCAATTCATGACTGGAAATAGCCCATTGCAGTACAGTGCCCAACAATAAAAAAAATCAGCACATGATACCCTTCCCTTATAACCAGAAACTCATTTTGTGCTAGGCAACCACTGTCTCGTGTGAATGTAACAGTACTGGATTATTACGCCAACTTCAGGTAAAATAGAAAATATTTATCTCTTCAAAATAATGATTTAAAAAACACAGAAACGTCTTAAAAAACTGGTTTTGCCCAAATTTTCTCTCGCTGCCCAAAAAAATACGAGTTGCCCAAAATTTGGGGGGGCTGCAGCCCCCCTCGCCCCCCCGGCCCGTACGCCTATGTACATTTCCTTAGAGAATTAGTTGAGAGAATTTTATTCAGAGATCAAAGCATTTTCTCATTGGTGAACATTTTGTTAATTCTCATAGGGTTTTCTCTTGATGATGAACTAATATTGTTAGTTGATGTTGTTGATGTTGGTCAGTCTAGGCACTCAAAGGGTTAACCAAGAAACTGAGCTCATTATAAGCCCAAATTATGATGGAAACTACTTCAACCTGACTTTGCTGAGCACTTGCTAAGACAAACTTAACAAAACAATCTGATGCCCAGAGATGTAACAACTATAGGAGAAAGAAGTAGCAAGTCTAGACATTTGCATAACATCATAGCTTAATATTATTAAAAAATATTGTACATAAAATTTCAAACTTTAACTCTATTCAATCCTGCTATTTGTTTATATCAGAGTGCTAAATTAATTCAAGAGTATGCTCGAAAATTTTTCCGAGAAACACTTAATTTCAGCCTGTCATCAACTGATTTGATATTTAAAAGATTATCAATATTTAAATTGGGCACTGAGAAAATATACAAAGTACATGCTTGAAGACAATTATTTTGTACAAGATTACTTTTGTTCATCCAGATTGAAAAAATAAAGAGAAAAAGATCATTAATGTTGTAGACGTGACACCACTTATTCTTGGAAACTAGACACGTCATGAAGTGCCCTTTCTCTCTTTTAAGCACATGGTATATTATTTCTACCTACTCAAGTAACAAATTTGAAATCAAGGAATGAAACAGTTGGTTTAAATCAAGACAATAGGTGATTTACAAATTTACAAGTATGGAAAACAAACAGTAGCATGCCGAAATCCGAGTAGTTTAAACAGATTAAATATTTAAGTACCGATGTCTTGACATTTCAAACATTCCGTCAAGAAAGTACACGGGTCATGTTTGCTTAATTTCTAACTCACGATTCTCTGAATTATTAAGCGAGGCACAGCGTGAAAAGATCACACAAGATCACAATAATTACATATAAATGATTCAAACCGTCCGTGAATATTGAGGTAATTACGATTTGAGCACATGTTTAAACGCTATAAGAAAAACTCACCTTCTCCCCTGAAAGACAATTTGATCAAAGCAGGAGATTGAGCTTTTGCTGTTTGAGTGGTAAAGCCACAATCCTCCAACGTTTTTGCATCATCGAGAATTTGATCGTCTTTGTAAAGCCTTTGATCATCAGGAGCTTTCTTCATAATTCCCTCCACCATTTTCTTCAGCTCGTAAACCGTGGTGGCTTCCTTGCAATCAAGGAAAATGGTCGTCTTATCACGACGCACCATCACAAATATCTCCTACAAATTCGAGACATTGTAACATAGATCAGCAAAATGTATTAACAGAAACATTATTCTATCCCAGAATGAGCTTTAAGTGATGCAAAAGACGCCCAGAAACGGAAAGAATCGAGTGAAAATATTTCTTTATACTTACCATGATGGCGGCCGAATAAAGTCTGTACCAGGATCGTTCCTTCTCACTGTCATTAAACCTCGCGCTAGTCCCCAGTTTTCTTACGATGACGTATCGGTTCGCGGAATCAACATTGCAACAGAAAACAAGATGGCGACCTACGGAGGTGACATCCCTTCAACGAACGATCCCAGCTCGGCCTCTGGAGCATCTAATGGTGATCAATCAAGTGCGAACGCCAACTTTGAATGTAATATTTGTTTAGATACTGCCAAAGATGCGGTTATCAGTTTTTGTGGGCACTTATTTTGGTGAGAACTTTAAGTCTTCGTTTAGCTTGTCCAGCTTTCCGATGAAACATGAATTTGTGGCACTCTCACTCAAGCGACTCCATATTAAAATACTTTATTTGTTTCCTTTTCAGCTGGCCATGTCTTCATAAGGTTAGTTAGCTTACCATAAGCTTTATGTAACTCTGTTTCAGCTGAATACTTCACAAGACGTTTAACTTATATTAGCCGTAATTTTTTAATACAGATCTCTAATTTCATTTCTGTGTATTAACGCACGCAACATACAGTTCTGCATAGTCGGTCTTCAAAATTGTGGCAGCTAGGTCAGGTTTTAAGCTCTTTCCTTATTTCATAAACTGAGATACATGGGATTAAAAGAAATTCCCTTGGGTGACAAAATAATACTTTTTCACTCAATAATTTCCTTGTTTTAACTTCGTCAAGTCCGTACATGTTAATCAATGTGGTTGCTAGGATGGAGGGTTCTTAGGCTTATTAAGTCTGATGCTCAATGTTGGGGTCACGAATGAGGCCGAAATGAGAAACCCCAAAAAATCCTGTGTAACTAAAAGGAGACCCCCAAGTGTATGTTGCAGTTAATTTTTTATTTCAGTTAATTTTTGTTTTTCATTTGTTTAAAATTCATTAGCATACATTACCATACCCAAAGACAATGGAAAATAAAAACTAACTGAGATAAAAAAAAATTAACTACACCATATACACTGTAATTACCCCCATAAGGGTCTACTTCCTGTTTTGTACTGCAGATTTATGTTTAATATCATTGTCAATTGGGTATGTACCCTGTGAGGAGAGGCAACATTTTCTCTGTGTGAGCTGGCATGCGAAGAGTAGCCTCTGCCGACAACCGTTCAACTTTCTATCATGCTTGCACGAAATTTCATCATGTAATTCGGGAGAAAATTAATCTTAAGATCTGTCGTCAAATGGCGCGAGTTTCGTGGGAATAAAAAAATTGCAACAACTCTAACCTGCTACAAACTGGTCAAGAGCAGGAAATAACCTGTTTCTTTAATTTATTTGTTCAGATTTATAGATGGATTTGAACAGTTGTTGGCAGCGGCTACTTTTCGCATGATTGCTGACACAGCGAAAATGTAGCCTCTGGTCACAGCGTATTGGGTATGACAATGTATGATGAGGATAAAACTGAACCATAGTGCATAGACACTCACACAAGTGTTTCACATACAATTTACAGACTCTTCAGTGTCAATTAAAAATTTCTCTTTACATACTCTTAATATGGATGGATTGAGGCACTTATATTACATAAAATTGGGTCAGGTTTGATTACCATTTATCTGAAATGAAAATCAACTTGTTCCTACCTTTCTTTGGTCAAGTTCAGGAAGTATTGGCTGTTGTTTGAGGTGATGAAATTTTGGATGAATTATGGGAAACTGCACACCTACCCCTCCCTTAAGCTAACATTAACACTTACTTCTTATCTAGGGAAAAATGTTAGCTTAGGGGAGGGGTAGGTGGGCAGTTTCCCAGAAACCTAATTTGCTATGAAATTTTCCTCTCATTTTGATCATTCATTGTAGTAAGTGCATGTGCAACAAGGTCAAAATTAATGTAATCGTTGAATGATTAACCATAATATTTCAACCAGACAGTTTGTGTCAATATTGTCATCCCACCAAATTCATATTCAAATGTCCCATCTTTACCTTTTGTAATGTTAGATTACTTGTTAAATTTGAAGCCATAGGAGAGCTTATAAGCTTACAGCAAAGTACTATACAGAGCTGTCATTAACCCTTTAAGCCAAGTGTGATCAGCATCAAATTTCTCCTTGTAATATCAATGCTTTGTAAAACAGAGTGGTTATGAGAATTATGGGCATGATCACACAAAATGAATTTGCTTGATATTTTATCAACTTCTCCCACTACTTCTGTAAGAAATGAATAGAGGAAACAAATGTGAATTCAAATTTTGATCAAATGGTTTAAAGGGTTAAGGACCATAACCTTTAACACCTCTGAGCTCACTTGCTGTTACTGGTGATCAAAGTGGCAAGCTAAAGGTGGCACTATAAAGTTTTGTGAGATGTTACTGGTGAATCTTCATTTGCTACAACATCTTGGAAACTTAATGACAGGCCTGCATGTACATCTACTTTTTGTTACTCAGCATGGAGAAAAAATGAGATCAACACATTCTCAAAATGAAGCTTGAGTCAGGTAATTACTTGTGTATCCACTAAAATTTGATTTTTTGTCACCATTTTAGTGGTTAGAAACTCGACCCAACAAATCCGTTTGTCCAGTTTGCAAGGCGGGTATCAGTAAAGATAAAGTAATTCCACTTTATGGAAGAGGCAGTACCAATCAAGAGGATCCAAGGTAATGATACTACCTGCTTAGTACTATGGACACATCAGGGTCACTAACATTCCAGGGAGTTGGACATTGGGATTTATGGTATTGCAGTTTTGACCCTTTTTTCAAGCAGTATTTCAGTAATTTAAATTTTTATGTGCTGTATTACAGTTTCGTTTAGCCCTGGGGTATGCGGTTTTTCATCCTTCTGGCTGATGGTGTTCAGTAAAAGGACTAAAGATCCTTTGGGGTATTGTGATACCATTCATCTATACTCTCCTATCTAATACAGGTCAAAACAATATGCAACACCAAACACAGTTAGCTGTACAGGTCAATAAAAGTTAATGTACTTTTAAGTCTTTAGACATAAATGGTGAATGATCGCACAATTTTGACAGTTAATCTACAATGGGATTGTTGTTGCATCCAATGACCCGGCTTTTTTATCTGTGTACCGATAAATTAGAGGTCTTTTTACGTTTTGTCGCAGTGACTGAGGTTGATTTCTGGTGCAGTACATACTTGAGATTAATAAACACGCTAAATGAATACAACTTTACATAAGTGTGACCGACCATAGATGCGGTATCAGTTTTTTTTTTTTTGATTTTCCACACCATATTTCAGTATTTTCCAAGTTTTCTTACAGTATAGCAGTACTGGGTACCCCGAGTACTGGTCCATGAATTCTATCGCTTAAAAGTATTGATTACTTTGGAACAAGTGAATACTTCAGTGGTAAAAAAACAAAGAATCTTCAAAACTTCAGAAAAACTTTGATGGTGAGGCTAACTGGTCGGTGTTGTAAACTTTCTTTGTTCCAAATGTGATGAGGATGCGGGTTTCTTTTTTTTGGCGATGGTTGAAATGACGCACCATGTTCATGGCATTTTTGCTTTTTGGGAATGATGTAACTTCTCTCAAATTGAAGCCCTTGATTTTCATGTATTTACGCATGCATATTCAATCAATTCAGAAACAAATCGTAGAATACAATATAAAAAGTAAATATCCTGAAGAATACTTGACTGTTGTTAAAGAAGGATGTGAAAAACTTTTAGCGAGGAAATTCTTTTTCATGTAGAATTAATCACCTCCTAATAATATTGTTATCTAATCTCCAAGGCGCAACAAGCTCAACTTAACGCTTTTTTAAGAGCGTTCTTGTTATATTTTTTATCCTACCTTGTTTCTATGTTTCTGCATAATATTATTCTTCCTCAGTAGCCCTGAACTTGAAAGTCATATGTGTGACTTGAGTTTTTTTTTTAATTGAAAACCCTTATGGCTTATATTTTAGGCAAGAGCCTAGCATTTTGTAATGGATGTAATACAGTTTGTTTTGATTCTCTCATGTTTCAACTTCTTTATTTCAGAGAAAAAATGCCCCCAAGACCACAAGGAAGAAGACCTGAACCAGAAAATAATGGAGTAAGTTTAAGCACTGTTAATACTACAATACAATAGGAAGGTAATTTACAGGGGTTTCATTGAGGTCTTTGTGTAACCCTCACAGAACTTTGTTGTATTCTCACAAATCTTTGCACAATCCTCGCAGATCTTTGCACTATCCACTTAAATCTTTGCACAATCCTAACAAATCTTTGCACATTGCTAAAGATCTTTGCACAATCCTCACAAATCTTTGCATAATCCTAACAGATCTTTGCTTAATCCTCACAGATATTTCCACAATCCCCATAGTACTTTGTCGTATCCTTACAAATCTTGGCACAATTTTCACAGATCTTTGCACAATCCTCACAGATCTTTGCGCAGTCCTCACAGAACTTGGTTGTAGCCTCACAAGTCTTTGCACAATCCTCACAGTTCTTTGCACAATCCTCACAAATCTTTGCACCATCCTCACAGTTCTTTGCACAATCCTCACAAATCTTTGCACCATCCTCACAGTTCTTTGCACAATCCTCACAAATCTTTGCACAGTCCTCACAGTTTTTTGCACAATCCTCACAAATCTTTGCACAATCCTCACAGATCTTTGCACAATCCTCACAGATCTTTGCACAATCCTCACAGATCTTTGCGCAGTCCTCACAGAACTTGGTTGTAGCCTCACAAGTCTTTGCACAATCCTCACAGTTCTTTGCACAATCCTCACAGTTCTTTGCACAATCCTCACAGTTCTTTGCACAATCCTCACAGATCTTTGCACAATCCTCACAATCCTCAGAAATCTTTGCACAATCCTCACAAATCTTTGCACAATCCTCACAGATCTTTGCACAATCCTCACAGATCTTTGCACAATCCTCACAGAACTTGGTTGTAGCCTCACAAGTCTTTGCACAATCCTCACAAATCTTTGCACCATCCTCACAGTTCTTTGCACAATCCTCACAAATCTTTGCACAATCCTCACAGATCTTTGCACAATCCTCACAATCCTCAGAAATCTTTGCACAATCCTCACAAATCTTTGCACAATCCTCACAAATCTTTGCACAATCCACACAAATCTTTGCAAAATCGTCACAGATCTTTGCACAGTCCTCACAGATCTTTGCACAATCCTCACAAATCTTTGCAAAATCCTCACAGATCTTTGCACAGTCCTCACAAATCTTTGCAAAATCGTCACAGATCTTTGCACAATCCACACAAATCTTTGCAAAATCGTCACAGATCTTTGCACAATCCACACAAATCTTTGCAAAAGCGTCACAGATCTTTGCAAAATTGTCACAGATCTTTGCGCAATCCTCAGAGAACTTTGTCATGTCCTCAGAAATCTTTTCACAATCCTCACAGTTCTTTGCACAGTCCTCCTCCTCCTCCTCACACTTGTTACTAGTTTTTATTACCTTCATGAAATGTATTACAATGACCCCCAATGTAATGCTCCCTTATCTGAAAATGACCCCACAAAACCAATCAAGATTTTAAAAATACCCCCCGCTCCCACGGGTAATAAACGACCAGCACCAATTACTAGGTTCTTACATGCGGATTTTTTTACTGTGCTACATGAAGGTTTACCTTCTTCATTTTTTCATAATAATTTCTCCTCCTATTTACACTTACTGATGTGAATCCTTTTTGTTAGGGATTTCCTGGATTTGGTGGATTTGGTGATGGATTTCAGCTTTCGTTTGGCATCGGTGCCTTCCCGTTTGCTTTCTTCTCAACGGTAGGTTACCAGCTACTACAAGGCACATACAGTGTGCATTACTGCTTGTTCATTTGACTGTATTCCAGAATAACAATGAAAGGAATTAACTCTTAAAATCACTCATTTTGCCATTCATTGCTTTACAATAGCTAGAAATCTGCTTGACATAAAATGTCCCAATGTATGTGGCCCAGAAATCTTGGCACAAGAGATTTGCAACCAATTTGTGCAATTCAAAAAAGAGAGAGAAAATAATAAGCTCATTGTCATATTATCATACAAATTCAGCCTGGTATGTGTCATGTGATTTTCATTTTTCTTCTTTACAGACATTTGGTGGACAAGGACAGACAGCAGGTGAATTTTTTATTGCCAAACATTTTCAGAGCTTTTTGGGGGGTGGGGGGGGGGACTCAATCCTCTGCAGAGGCCTCTTTATGTCTTAGAGAGGCTAGAGAGAGAAAAAATGAAAGTGGGTGGGGGGAAGTGGATGGGAAGGGGAAAAACATCCTGCCTTTTCCTTCTTGCTATCGCCTACCCTGCGCATACTATTTTTTAATTATTGCCATTTTTTATTGGGATACCTAGCATGCGACTCTGTGGAGAAGAGAGGAGATGGAATTATGATGCTTGTAGGGTTAATTAGTTTATTATGGTTTAAACCTCAATAATAAATTAGGAGAGTGTGTGATAAAGTTAACTTCGCAACAAGACAACTCCGAACTAATTACAATTTGGCTGAGATTCACTCCTTCACTTTTAACACTTGCAAGCACTACTGTCCGTCTTCAAATTAAAAGCAGATCTGTTTCAAAGGTATTTTTCAATGCCTGACTGAAAAAAAGATCCTTGAGTCTTGATGATTACTTAAATTAAGTATCTAGTTTAAATAAACAATTGGACCAGAGGGAAAGATCAAGATGTCCTGTTAATCGAAGTCCAGATCATCAAGGTTTGACTGTATTTCTGTTAATTTTTTTATTTCTTTTTATATGTTATTTATAATCTAATGTTCACTGCTTTCATCTCTTTCAGCTCCTGCTGGATCACCGCAAGCAGAAGATGAACAGTTTCTCTCTAAGCTATTTCTTTGGGTCGCATTCCTATTTATGTTTTGGCTTCTAATTGCTTGATATCAGCAAAATAATTTTAGATTCAGAAATTTAGCTCAATATACCAGAGAGACATATACAATCCGACTCGGTGTACGGTTAATAGGCCTTGTCCTTGGTAGATCCCCTGCAGGGTTTGTACAGAAATTTGCAAACCAGTTTTTCAGACCTGAAAGCAATGTGCTGTGCAGTTGTCAAATCTCATTTAATCTCATCTTTAGCCAGGACACTCAGTTGCAGAATAAATATTTTCAGAACTCTCTTATGTCCACTATGCACAGTCTGTGGTTACTGAATATTGACAGTGCCTCATGGGAAAGACTTTTTCTTTCATTTGATTGGTTATTTGGTAGTCTTGAGTGTGAAAAAAGAAATATTTATTATCGTTTTGCAAAAAGTTAGGTAAAAGTCTTAAATTTTGCATCCAAAAATCTGTACGGACCGACCCTTTTTTTGATTTCTTCTTTTGTGAAAATGTGATGTAATATCATACTTCATCTTGGGTAACGTTAAACAGACCATACTCTGGACAGAGGTTCTTTGGAGTTCTTTTCCTCTCTAGCTGCTAACTGTGTGATAAATCAGAATTATTCACATAGCAGTGGTATTTTTCAACTTAAGCTACTTTGCTGTGTGTTTATATTGTAACAGATGAACTTTTGACTGGCTGAAACATTAGAGCAGGAATTTCATTCGCACACAACCATTCTATTGTTTTGCTATGTTCACAGGAATTTTCACTTTCTTCATGGTGTTACTATCTGCCCATGAGTAGTGCACTACTTTAGCAAATTCAAAGTGACATCTCTCACGCTTATTTACCATGCATCCATGCAACTCCATTTCTGTCATGTTCAAAAATTTAGATGGTTAACTTGTCCACAACATGCTGGTCCATTTTTCATCTTTACCGGTGAAGAATTTGACTTTGGATTGGCTGTCAAATTTTTGACCAGTTACGCATCTAAATTTACTTAAGGTTGGTGTGGTTCCCGGGGGGAGGGGGTACTTCCTTATAAGAGGCTGATGGGAGTGTGCCGCTGGATGGGGTTGCATTTTCACATCTGGACTGACTATAATGGGGTCACACATTTTCGGATTTTTGGGGGAAAGACAGTTCTTCATATTTACAGTTAGCAAACATACCAGAATGTTTGTACTGTAGGTGAAAAGTAACATGTTCTTCATTCAGTTTAAATAATGGGTCAATTCATAAAAATTGAAAGTGACTAAGTTGGGATCACAATGATTACCTATTTGCCCAAAAGTGACTAAGATGGGGTCTATAATTTGGTCATAGAATAGACTATAATGGGGTATGGGCTCTGAGAGGCCAGCGGCACATACCCAGCAAAAATTTAGCCAAGTTCTCTCGCCCCCCTCTCCAGGGTGTGGTTTCATTAGAATGAAAAAACTACAAGTTTAAACTTTCAAGCAGTCAAAAATGTGGCTTGTACTGTGTTACCATGCCTTTACTTCTAAGTGTAGTCATTTCAGTTGTTAACTCAGTTGATGAAACCTGATGGCAAAAAAGATAGGTGCACACTGTGCACAAAAAGTTGTATAATATTATTATCAAATATAACAGAGAAAGACTTACTGAGATTTATATAATTTTGATAGTTTCATACAGTGTAACCCTAGGGATAACTCAACAAAGTTTTACACAGAGAGGCTCTGCCCTGAGGTCCAACCCCGTATCTTTTTATAAACCATATTTGACAGAAAAGGTACTCCTTGAGTACACCTTCTATTGAAAAATGGTACCCTTTAACATACCTAGTTTAGAACTTTGCATCTCTTTTAACTGTGTTAAATTTATTGCTGTTTAAATATGAATATGTCACAAAACCTAGCTTAGCTTAACTTTTTCATATCCATAAAATGCATCTGTTAGCCCTCTTAGGTCTTTTTACAGACAGATTTGCCTACCCTTTCATATACTTCAGCTAGTAAAATACCTACCCTTTCATATACCTGAAGCCTGGCAGAGCCTCCCCGTAACGGCCATTATGAGGAGTATTCTCCCTCCCCCTCCCCCTCCGGCAGAGTAACATTCTTAATATGGAAAAGTTAAAACCAGAGAATGTTTCTGTATTTAGCAGTAATTTCCATACAGGTGACTTAAGAGAAAATAATACAGGCTTTGAGCATGTGTGCATTAGGTTCTGGTGTAGCTGTTATTTCTTTAAATTATTCATAGCTTAAGGTTGGTCAGTTATGTGAAGTATAAACAAGGTTACCATTCATTTTCTAGTTATTTAATAAATAAGGTAGGATATGGAAATTTCAAGTTGTTTGATACTGCTACCTGCATTAACCCTGATTTTGATACATTTACTTAAAGAATTGGTTGAGAGAATTTGACTAAAGATCATAGAATTCTCCCTTAGGCGATCATTTCAGTCATTCTCGCTACCCTTCTTCTTGATTATGTATTGATACTGCGAGCAGAGAATTGATTCTGGTCACTCACAGGACTTAATAGGTTAAAACTTAATATTATTTTCCAACACTGAATTATCATTCATTCTAATATCTTTTCAGAGTTAGATTGAGTTTATTAGTATTAATTTTTAATAATCTCTGTTCAAAGTGTTCAATGTATTCAAACGGAACTTATTAGTTGACATTGAAGTTTACACACTATTCTATTACTGCCATACTGTTTGTTGATAGTTTAACTATGAAGTGAAAAGGGAGTGTATCCAATCTCTCTGATTGTGTAACAATTATATTAAAAAAATATTGTAAAGAAAATAGTAATTGTTGCTAGATAGAGCATTAGTCTTGTTTTGTTTACAAATAAACTTGGATTAAAATTGTCATTAATGTCTTTTTGTGAAGGTAGTCTTAAATCGTTTTTATACATATAAATTCTCCTTATTAAGGGGCCACGGATTCATCTCAGATCTGAGTTCCTGCGGTGGGGGGTTACATGATAAATTCATGATTGGAGGTGTGCCAGTGCAATTTTGCCACCCAATGTTTGGTGAGATGCTTGAAGGCCCCATCATATCCCAACCTAACTATGAACCAGAATCTGTAAAAAAAATCACTTATTCTTGAACCAGGAGCTCTGCTTGTACCCTTTTCCAGACTTGACTGTAGAAAAACCCTACCCTTCGCAGCGGCGCTACATATATGGCAGTTATCCCCAGGATGTGAGGTGAAGAAGGGTGTATATTGGGTGGAAAGGGGTGTGCATTGGTGCCTAAGAAATCCCCCCACCCAACTAGATCCCCCTGGTACGATGATGCCCTCTTATGTAAGCTCTTAACCAGCGTAGCAAGCGCTTGGAAGTAGTGGGCGCAAGAAAGAACGGGCGCGCGAGAGGGAGATACGCAAAGGGGGAGGGAGCTCCCTCTCCCCTCGCGCGTCTCCCTCTCGTGCGCCCGTTTTTTCTTGCGCCTGCTACGCAGGCTAGTAAGCTGTATGGGTTTCTGTGTCTCTCTTTATGATATGATTTTCTCCTCTTCATTTCACTGATAAAAGAACGCTTTACTAGCTTTGTGCCCAGGATATCCCCCTCATCCCTTCTTCATCATCCCTGCACCAAGTCTTCGTGTGGTGTTTCGCTCCCAAGGGGAGGGGGTCGAGACTCCCACGTGAAAATGAAGGGGATACTCGTTGTCTCACTTTGGGATAGAAATTGCAGAGCTCTGTTTCACTAAGGATGTTCAGGAATCAGGAAGGAAAGCCAATATTTCTATCCATGAAGGTATCGTTTTGGGTTGTGCGTAAAGAAATTCCTAAATAAATGCCACCATACTGTGTTAGAGTGAGATATCATTTAGGGCTCCAATGAACCCTAAGCCAGGCCAGGGGGGTAATGGGCTCCTGGCCACGCCCCCTTCAGTCTCCTTTAGGGTTGATTTCCACTGACGGGTTTTCGGCTGCGCACGTTAACGCACGTAAATTTTAATCACCTAGATAAAATAGAGGTAAGATATAAAGTGTTGAGATTAAACGTGAAGTTAAGCGAGGTTCTATTTTTACGCTTAAGTGCGACCTTTCATACATCGCCTCTGTTTTATTTGCGAACGTAAATTTTACGCAAGTTACGCACGTAAAAATTACGCGACAGTGGAAATCAACCCTCAGGGGATAAATTCTAAATTCACCGCCATTCTGAAGCATTCCACTAAGGTACGAGGTGGGGCCCTAAAAACAGGCAGGCCCTTTGAGCAATAACGATATGCGAATAAATAGTCGTCAATAAAAAATTTAAGTTAACAAAAAGTATAGGCAATAGGCCTGCCTAATATCTCTCCTTAGAGAGGGCAACATGCATTTTCATTTTACTTCATTTCAGTCATAAATGACAGTCATAAAATATTAACACAAGCACAAGGATACACAGGGGAAAGGGGTGCTTATTTGCCAGTTCTTCAAGGGGGTGGGCGCTTATTCATGGAGGGGCAGAGCGCCGAGGCTATGTTCAGGCAGGGCTCTTAGTTCAGAGGAAATGTGTGGGTGAATGACGTTTAAAAAACAATACTAATTTAAGCACTGAAGGACACTTACCAACTCCGCGGTATGGCCAGTGCCAGTGCCTTAGTGTCAGCCAAGGGCGAAACAGCTGTCCATGCTTGTCACTGCCGGTGTGATATGGTTGTGAGCATGCGTAAGGGAATGGTCATACAGCGGAGTTGGTACGTCTGTTTCAGTGCTAAAATTGATATTGTTTTAAAAAAAAGTCTATTACAACACACATAGAACCAAACGCATAGGTTTAATTGGAAACTAAAAACGTTACAAAACCAGCAATTAAGGGTATTCTCAGTCATTTTGCCAACAATTCCTTTCATTTCGCTGCACAGTTGTTTCGAGCAGGTTTCAATAAACTGATGTCTAAAGGAAAAACCGGGTACGAACGAGAATGGCACTCGAGGGAGAGGCAACCTCTGCAACGAAGCCATTCGGTTTGACCTGATTTTTACGCTCAGATTCTGAGGGCAGAAAACGCGATTGGTTAGAATTAGTCATGCATCAATCCTAGTCTTAATAACTCGTTCCGATTAGTAGAAATACTTGATAGAAATCATCATCACGCTATTTTGACTTTCCCTCCTCCCTCGCGCGCTCGATTTCTTCTCTAGCTCCCTTGCTAACTCCCGAAGCATCCCCTAAAATTCCTAAAGGAAGACTGCAAAAAGGTCGGGTTTCTTTACTAAAAAACTGTTTTTTTAAGGCGCGAAGTACCGGTTGCGTCAGAGCCTCACAGCACGAAGCGCGAGAACATACCACGCTTCGATCCAAACCCTTCGTTTGACTGTACGCGAGTTCTATACTAGACAAGGATATGAACTATTTTGCAGTCTACTTTTAAGGGTAGTTTGAGTAGTAAAGCTGATATTTTCAAAACAAGCACTGTATTTGCGGTATAACAGAGGGCATAGCTATGTACACGCTCGTCTAGTCTTTCACTGCCACAAACCCGAACTGTTTTGGTCGTTTTTGTTTTACGCAAATTTTTTGGTGATTTTCCAGTAACCTTATAAACACAACAATGGGCTTCCATAAAACAATATAATGGTTTAACAGATGAAACACAGTAACTCCTCGCGATGTGAGGTGAATAAATTTCTCAGAATTCACGTAATGCGTCGATTGCGCGTGGATCGGCCAAAGAGCGCGGTACTATCTCGGGTTGGTTTCGATACAAGGGTGGATGGCCACATTTGCTTAGCAATAAGACCGCTACAAATATAAACGTCGAAGGCTGTAATTTTCCATCAGCAACAAAAGCCAGCCTAGTTCTCGACTTGTAAACAACGTTTCAGACAGATTGGGACCAGAAAATTGTGCTACTAACTTCAAAGCGTGTTGTTTTTCGCCAAAATTTCCAGGGGTAAATGCTTTAAACAGAATATTTGCAATTCTTCACGAGTGTAGGATTTCGTGGTGTGGTGGTATAATGTCTCCCTCTCGTGCAGTGGATCCCGGCTGAGAGATATATATTTTTCTTTTTCTTTTTTTTATTACTTTCTTTTTTTCTGTTTAATTTCCTATGGCTGGATTTTTTTCCGGACGGCTTCTGCGAGATACACATATTTTAAGGCCATAATATTCTAGTTACAACTGATTCTATAACTTGGTAGAGAAACGACTGGAAACAACCTGTGAACAACCTTCCCACCCACCCTCCCCCCTCCCCCCTCCCCTCCCTCAAAGTTTGAGAGGGGGCAGCTGTACACAAACCACTGAGTGGCAATAACGCAATTTTCACCAGAATAATTCTGCTTCTGCAGGTAATTTCTTTTACTCTTGAATCGATATACCGTATTGCATCGAATAAGTACCCAAGCGCTTATCGTAAATTGAAATTTGTGCAATGAGGAGGGGCGCTTATTTCCCCCATCGGGAGGAGTACGCTTAATCGAGAGGAGCGCTTATCAAATTTTCCTTTCAAAGAACTTTAACTATATTTTCACTAAGTCTTTAATAGAAAACAAAAACTGCAACATTATCCACGTAAATGAAAGTCAAAATCAATGTCTTTCGTTTGTTAAAACAATGATTGGTAATCAAGCGTACCGTAGTCCCATTGGTCACTTTACACACAAGTGTTTTGGTGTGAATGTAGAAGTTGAAGCTTAAAAAGTTATAAATATAAAGTGGTAGTAGAAAATGGTATTCCTTGCTTCCTTGATATTTAAGAAAGTGACGGGGAGGGGGCGCTTATTCGAGAGGGGCACTTGTTTGATATTTGGCCAAGGGGTGTGCGCTTTTTCGGGTGGATGGCGCTTATTAGAACGTGTGCGCTTATTCGAGGAAATACGGTATTAATTTGTGTTGGAAGAAATTCATTTCAGCCCACAACTATTGAGTTCAACACAAAGTAAAAGTTTTGCCCCAAATTCACAGGTGGACCAAGCTCGAAATATGACATGACGGAACGTTGAAAATCTAAGGATTTGTATGGGGGAATAAAAAGCCGGATTGCTTTTGTAACCGATACGAGTTGAATGTGAAAGGATTTGAATAAAAATCGGTTAACCTCACTTACGTTGTGTGTTTCTTCTTTACTGTGTGGACTCCGAGCCGATATGGTCATTTTATGGGTTTTATTGAAACGTGTTAGTTCCCTCTATAATTGTTATAATGAAGGGCTAAAATGACTGTTATTTTGTTTTGTTATGTTTTTGTTTTTGTTGTTGTTCCTTGAAACGAAATTGTTTAGATAAATACATGGCATTTGTTTAAATAATAAACAAAATACATGGACGCTTTGAAAACTGTTGGTGATTTTTGAGAGGTATGGATTTACTTTCTTCAAATTGATATCGTACTCGTTAGCTGCGCTGACTCATGAGATGTCGATTTTATCTTCGTTACAACTTGGACCCCGGAAAAAAGATTTCTTGAACTGTTGAGGTTATAAATGATAACGCTACACGTACAGTTTTCCAGTTTGTGAACCATTTTTATCATCATTTTTATATTAGGCCTTTTTCTGTTTTTAACTCCACCCTTTCAACACTTTCTTCTCAAGTTTTCCCCAACTCGCGTAGACAGGTAGCGCTTTTCCCCTGAACAAAAATAAAAGAAACAACTTAAGTGATTCAAGGGTGATGTGTGGTGTGTGTATTTTTTTACGGAATGTGCTGAAATAACGAGAACAATAGCTTGACTGTGTATAACGCGGAAAAATTCGAACCTATTTCAAAGTTGCTTAAACTCAGGAAGAAATAAAGAAGAAAAACATCTATATTTTAAATGTTGGGTCAGATTTTCATTGAAAGGGTGAAGCGAATAAGTTACCAGTTTTGCTTGTACAGCATGGAGACAAATAACACTGTTTTGTGACTTTATTAGCATAA